TCCCTTATAATATGTAGTATTTTTATTGCTAACTAGCATCTTAGTATTCCATGACGTTCAAAGTCATAGACGGAACCTCCAGTATTGTCAAATATGCATAAAAAAACACAAATATTGACTTATTATTATGACCATTAATTTTACAGTTGAAGAATGCAAGTCATGTGCTTCAATCAATTCAATTCCATAAAATAGGAATGGAATATATGAAATATATATGTTTTGTTCACAGATGTACAGGAAATATTTTTCTTTAAAATCAAACAACCAAAGCATCGGAAAATAAAACAATTTAACAGTTTTTAAAAGAATTAAAATTAGTTTTAAACATATATTAAATTCTGCTGAAACAGTACAATTTCTTTTACCTTACGGATAATTTGCCATCAATCTTTCGTAGCTTTCTTCTTTTGTGTATAGCATTGAGACCTCCATTTGTACTTGCCACAACAATTATGACAAGGACTAAGACAGTGCAAACAAGAACCACGATCATCAGGGTAGGATCATCTAGAAAGATAAAAGATATAGCATACTTTCAATACCAATAAAAGATTAACTGCAATTATGTACTTATATCAACAAAACATGTTGCTACAAAAAAGCATACTGGTTTTAACAAGGTTTATATTAATGTACCAAATATTTTCAAAATTAGAAATTGATGTGTACATTTTTATATTTAACAACAACATTTCAGTCTGCCATGGCAAAGTAATAATGACATCTTGATTATTTCGAAATAATCATATCATTGTTTATGCTTTATAAAATATTTAAAAAAAATCTTGGAAGCGGAAATAGTAAATGAAATGTATATGAACTATTATTGCAACCAATAAGCATTTTTGCTTTGGTATTTAATGTACCAACAAATACACGTACATCATAAACAAAATAGATGGAAAATGATGAAATGATTTTAAACAAAAGCACGTGAAACGCTTTTCTTTGGGTTTCATTCTTCATATTTTCATATTTTTGTAACTATATAAATGATATATGTCTTCAAATGAAACATTGATACTATATGATGGTAAGCCAATATACGCTTCGACAATGCAATCGTAAAAACTAGCAAAATATTTGTTTAAGTTTATTATATATACAATTATTTTATTGAACAGCGATTACATCATTATATTCCGTTCTATTTTAGTCATGAAAATAGTTTTAACACTTCTAGAACGTTTGATTTGTATGTCTGTCACTGGTTTGTATATGTTTATATAATATGATACCATGATGATGTTATATACCCCATAAAGGTTTTTGATTTTTTGCTTCTTTACTGGTTTGGTTTTTTCATGTTTTGAATTGAAACTACCTTTTTCGCAGTTTGTACCCTCAAATCCATCTGCACAATGACATGTACGTCTGTTTATCTGATTTTCACACCTTCCTCCATTCTCATTCACATGGATTATTTAGACATTTGTTTAAATCTAAGAACAATCATATTATATAATAAATTATGAATTTCTGTATATGGAGCTACATAACAAGTAGACAAATAAAACAATACAAATTCACAATGGCATGGGTTTGCTCACAGTGCTTTTAAATCAAATATGTCGGATTTGTTACAATATAAGTATTAAATCAAAATCGTATGTTGAAATACGTGATTCAGATCAGAAGTATTCAAGTTTTAGAAATACACTTTTTTAAATTTAATATACAAATACCAATGCTGCATGTGTCCCCTTCGTATCCCGTTACACAATCACATTTAAAGTTTGCGACCAAATCTATACACGTTTCCGCCATTCTGACATGGATCCGATGCACATTCGTTGATATCTGTGGATTTTTTTTTATATTATTAAAGTGACATTATGCTCATATTTTCATTATCAATTTGAGCTTAATTGACTACATATTTCAAAAAATTGACTGTTCTAATGGCGATTGAACAACAATTGATGCTTAAAATCTTTTAGAATCATTATAAATGTGTTTTAAATATAAAAAGACTGCCCTACTCTTTTTATTAAATGAACACTTCAGGTAAATACCTGTGAATATTTACAAGATTTTTTATTTTGGCTGCATGAGTTTTTGTTTACCTTCATGCCGAAGTAAATTATAATATTGGATGTAAAAAACGGCAAAATATAGCTTTATGTAACTTTCACCAGTTTTATGCATTGTACTTGGATGGGTATAATGTCACTTTAAAGTAAAAAGCTTAATTATTTTTGTCTTTTTGTTAGCAGAATCCTCGTTTATACAAATACAAATATCATACGAAATTTTTTTTATCTCGTACGTGACAATCGCCGATATAATAAAATCTTGGATCCCAATTATCTCGTCAAGCTAAATTTTCCTCTACAATCCTTTAGCGGCTCTTCGAATTTTTACAAACCATATCGTAATTGTTATCTGTGATTACGCTATTGTGTACATTTGCCATAGCATAACGTTTAACGTCAAGTTGTATAATAAACATAAAGCATATAAATTATATGACATGGATAAAAAGGAAATCGCGTTGACAGGCAGAAAACTGCAAATTTAAAAATTAATGAAAATATTGCAGACTTGGTTCGATTGTGTCTGTTTATGTATGCTTCGGTGATAACAAGCTAAGATGAAAATAATCAATTCAACATGATACGTGACTTCCTTACCATACTCGCAATTGAATCCGCGGTAACCAGGTGGACACATACAGTAATATCCGATTGTTTTATCGACACAATTTCCTCCGTTATGGCACGGGTTAACATCTGTAAGTAAATCGCAAATTTTGATACAATATAATAGATTTTAAATAACTTTATCTCCTAAAAGGCAACATTTATGAGGTATACTTAGCATGTTTTTGCTTAACTTGATCTCTACATGAAAAGTGATGAGAGCAATTAGCATTAAAACTGTCAATAAAAATAAATAAGCGATTGTTTCTTGTTATTTCTTAATCTTAATTTTAAGAAAAGTATACGTTTGGAAAACATGTATAGTTTCATACGCAAATTCTATGTTTTAAATGTGTCCATACACTACAATATCATAATAGGTAATATAAAATCTGTCTATGCTGTTTTGTTAGCGATATCAATTTACCTGTCCAATCGTAAAGCGCTTTAGATGATTGACAGGCACGACATCCGAAAGGTGCCATTTCGTTGTCCGAGTAGCAGTAGCCACTAATAAAGCAATGACCGTCCTTGAATTTGAAAAAAAATCAAACAAACCAATAAACGAAGCCAATAAACTCACAATACACTCGCTGCCCCTTCTTACATCCTTCATGATATATACTATTGCTGTAATCTATTAGATTTATTTGCATCCTTATACTACATGTAATAGTATTTCAAAGGAAATGAAATGTCAAATAATATTTTAATGTATTTAGTTTAAATACGGATAATTAATGTTGATTTTCCGTCAAAAATCTGCTAGGTTGTTTTTTGAATGTAATATACGTCAGAAAATTGACAAAAACAAAATTAAATTTGACAAATAGTGTTATAAGATATCTAGCTTCTGAAAAGTTGGTGGTTCTATTTAGCTGACAGGTCGTGTCTGAAATAATGTGCAGAGGGGCTTTTGAACTTTTCCTCAACAAGTAAAGCTGGAAAGTCGCAACATAATATACTGTGTAGGTGCGACGTAATATCCAACAAAAATCTATAATTTCACATGCAAACGGATTGAAATCACTAAAATGTATGTTATATACTGTTTGTATGCATTCATATCAGATTTTGCCAGTTTGTGTCTTAAATATTTTGAAATCTAGATGTAAATCCTACTAGTTTGGAAATAAAAATACGAATTACGTTGGTAATGCCATTGAAATAAGACATTTTGCCCCAGTTAGGAAGTGTGAAATTGAATTTAAGTAAAGTCAAGAGGAAATTTCAAGGTATATACCTCAAAAGACATGTCTTATATTATCAACCCAAAGTGAATAGTAACATTTGCTTAGCAGCATGCGTGCAAATAAGAATACAACAGTAAGTACCTTTAGACTGAATGATTTACTTCCAGATTCACTTGTAGAGATGCGCTGACACACAGAATCGAAGACGTAAACACTTTCCGCGTTACCAAAATGAATACCATTGTTGCTAATTGACACCGTGTATTGCGCAACAAATACATCGTCATTCCCAATTATACTTTTCGGGGCACAACATATACCTGTGAAAATATCCTCGTAGCCACCAATTGACGAACTAGATGAGACAGGCTCTACAGCTCCATTCTTCAAGATCTATGGAGAGTATTTTGCATTACAAACTTGTTAAAGACATTACAAAATTGCACGTAGCATATCGAAACTTATATGACTAGTCTTGTTAAAAAAAACTAGCACTTATTTGCAATAATAATAATAATAATAATAATAATAATAATGATAATAATAAAAAAACATATAAAAAGTAAAACGTATATTAATACAAACATAACATTATTTTAACGGCATATTAACATTAATGATTTTGTATTTATTCCACAAATATATTTCCGAACATTTAAGGTAATTTGTATTTACTTTTCAGAAAAACTAAATGTCATATGCAGATAAGACCGAAATTGGTAATGTAATTCTAACAAATTAAAAACTTTTGAGGAACGCCGTGTTTTTCTTCGCCAATTTGATAAGAAAAAGGAATTAAGTGCTAGTAAAAGATGGGGTAACTCATTTTTTTGTAAAAAAAAACTCCTGATTGCAACAGATTCATGAAGAAGTTGATGCTAAGAATTTGTATTATCAATTTAATTTAAAATGAGAACTTGATTATATGTACACACCTTTGAAGTGTTTACACTACAAGTAAAGTTATCCTGGATGTTCTCAGACCGGACATAGAAACATTCACATGCTTCACCGTCTGCAAGATCACATTCTCCCCCGCCTTCTATGTCCAAAATAGTGAGACCGTCCCTTTCGTCTATTGAACAGTCAGATCCCTTGTAGAACGTAAGACAGGAACATATGCCTGAAATATATACAACATCTAATATGCATTTTAATCAAGAATTACAAACACATATATAATGATAAGTATGCATGTTTGCCGTTGTTATTATAACCTATAAACGAACAACACTCCTTCATGTGACAAGAAAGCTATACAGAAACATATATATAGCTATACGAAAACGCGAGAGAGGCTTTATGGTAGCATCATGCCACAATTTAAATAAAACATAACTGCACAAATATAATAAAAGCTATGCTTAAAAACTTTTGTTTTCAATTACTTATTTGCTTTTCCAAATAAGTATTTCTTTGATAGTTTCTCAGAGAAAATTATTAATGTATAAAGTATTACCAGATTCTATGCATTCTCCGTGATTACTGCAATTCATAGGACATGTATTCGCATAGAATGCTTTAACCTTTTCTGAGTTGTTCTTAACAATTTTTGGTTGGAGATCCAACATGTTTTTAACTCCATCATTGAAAGCTTCAACAAGAAAATTTGCCCAGTGTGTATCCTTCATTACCTTTAAGTAGCAAACAATCAGTCTTAATTATTATTTATTTTAAAATGGTGCATGTGGTATAAAGTATTAAATTAGCACATTCTCAGATGAGTACAATGAATTATTATTTTTACAGTAAATATAAATTAACAATTAAGCCAATATTTCGAATACGTTATTCAAACTATTCATGTAAAGTACAGTAAAGACTGTCTTAGCGACCCCCTGTATATAGCGACGTTCTGTCTATAGTGACCATAGTTAGGTGCGCCGAACAGTATTTACTATATAAATGGTCTGTATGTAGCGACTCCCTGTCTAGTCCGTACAACGACCATCATTGAGTCACCCGTTACGGTATTTGAGCCGTGAAAAGCGACTTTTGCAAGGGGAGCATGGCTTGAACTAGGTGACGACTTTGGCGAAGAAGTCGCCTTCGAATCAGCGACTTTGCTTCAGTCGCCCGATTTTTATAATTTTCCGTCATACTTATTTACGCCGCTAGGTCTGTTAATAATTTGTTTACCTCTCAATTACAACCAATTACCGTTAATCCGCTAATTAAGAACGCGTGTCAACATCAACAAAGTTCAATACACGCCGCAAGGCAAGAGTTCACTCTGTTTATCTTTCTCATTACGTATTCATGCGATTGACGAATCAGAACGCGCGTTGTATCTACGGCAGTTTGCATTGACCAATCGGCGACACGCTAATACACTGTGGCTGTTTGTTGACATTTACACAATATGGCGACAAATTCAATCAATTTTCGCCGATAAAATGATTAAAGACACATGCATATACATAATTGCTGCGGTGTTTTGGCGAGTAAAGATAAACAATACCAAACGTCTTAAAGATGTGGTTATGGTTGAATCCTCGATTGTTAATTTTTTTCGGAGCACTTATCTGTAGAAATTATGTGGAGATTTGTATCTAATGTTTTATTAATACATTGAACTCCGTAAAGTAAACAGGTTGATTATACAAAATTAAATGTCTCTACAGTAACATCTCATTAGTAAAATTGAAATTAAACATTTTTTTACAAACAGATTTATCAATATAAATTACATTTTAATGGATATGTAACTTTTAGATACTAATGTTATGGTGAAGTTTATAATCTTAACCAATTATACATGCAATTTTAACTTAAACCCTTAGTATGGTACTATCCTGCTTTTCAACAAAATATTAGTATGATATGTTCATATATCCGAATTATATAGAGACTGTCCACAGTGACTCCCTGTCTATAATGACCTTTTTTCTTTTCTCCCATCGAAGGTCACTGTAAACAGTCTTTACTGTAGATAATTGGCGTAATGTTTTGAAAACATCAAGTCTATACTTTATAACAAACAAAGTAAAAACTTTTCTGCTAGAGCTAGATAAAGTTCAGAAATTTAAGTTTTACAACTGACATTATTTCTAGGACTTCATCAAATTAAAAGAAACAAATGTTTGAGACGTGTTTTTCTATTGTGTAATTCGTACTGTTACAATGATTTTTAAATCCTCTCTAGAAATTTGACAAACAGACTGTTCATGAGTGTGTTTCAGTGCTAATGCAATTAAATTACGAATAGCAAAACAATACTTTAATTATCAGTATCAAATAAAATTTTAATTATTATTTAATTAAATTTCCAGACAAACACGAACCATTCTCTATGTTATCATATACATATATGTATATATAATCGTATATATTCGAGAGCCATATATAAGAATAATAATAAAAATATAGTGCATGAGCATTTATAAATGTAAAGAAAAGCAAACAAACATTGTGGTTGAATGAAATATATATATAAATTTGGAAGAGGTATGTTTTCTCATAAAATGATGCAGCGGTAGTTAATGATGAACATCTCCTACAGGCTTACAAAATAACAAATTATAAAAAGTGAAAGATTAGAAGAATTAAGTAATTAGGTTAGAAATCTTTCTAAATGTGTATTTGAAAGTGATTATTGTAATAACGGAAAAGTCAAATTCACACTGTTGTAAAATATTATCTTCATCGTCAATGAAGCCCAAATTCGTTAAGTTTGTTAACGCTGGTATACTGGATATCTTGTTGCGACAAAAACTTTTAGATTCCTCTGTTATCTCTATCTCTTGTACTTCTTCACGCTGAAAGTAAGCAACCCTGATTTCAACGATGTTAATACATGCAAAAGTTCCTTATCACTTTTCTCAGAAATGAATTACAATAGCAATCATTATGATTATATCTTAAATATAGTTTCTAATGTTTGCTTATGAAACTTTTCAAATTTCTCAGGTTTGTAAATTGACGTTTTTCAAGACACTAGTCTGTATGATGTCAATAGGTGAGTATTTCTGTTCAATTTACGTACAGTAAGTGTAGGATAGTATATAACCAACACATTAACTCAATAAAACTTAAATACAATAAAAATGTATACTTTAAAAATGAACGTCCCTCATATGAAACTATTAAGAAATACAAAAGTCAATTTATGTTCTGTACAAACAACCTGTAATGCAGAAACATGACCGGGAACCTACCTGTTTACTGCTACTAAATTGAACTGCGATTTTTGACAAAATTCGGTGAATTTCTTTACTAGAGTGATTCCCAGCTCTTCTTTTCCGTCGGCCATTAATGCGACATTTAGTTCTTGTTATAGAGCCTGTTTTTGAACACTCAAGATACTGAGTTGGTGAACACAATGCTTCGTTACTTCTGTATAGACTGTTACATACACAATATAAGCCATTTTCTCGAACCCAAGGAGCTAATGTTCTTAGGGCTGGTCGGAAAAGATTTTCCTCTGCATTTTCTTCTATCCTGTTCGTTAAAGCATAGCTACCATTCATCATGATAATTTAAAAAAAAGCATTTAAATTGAACGAATTACCGGTAATTTCTTAGGGATCATGTACCATTTTGAACAACTAGTAAATATTTAAATTTAAAACATGTCATTTCGGTCAACATAATATGATTTAATATGAGATCAAAAGTATTTCAAATAAATACATTTACTTTTTGTTGTAACAAAATGAAATGATTATCATATATTGTACATGGGTAGGTAAGAAATTAAACAATATCATACAAACCCTTCACAGGTTCTTTTTTTCATTATTACCTCCAAGATTCAACAAATTCAGGAAGGTTATTGTATGAATTTGTTCCTTGAGGGGAGCTCATGATGCTGTGTCTATGTATCAAATCATTAAACATGTCACCATCCACTTGTCCGCATAGCCCATATACATTGCCCATGTCTTTTGGAGCCATTGTTATGTCCACGTTCATCCATTTTGCGTGTGCATTGAGAGCAATGCTTATCCGTGTGCCTATTGGCGTGAACACCTACAAATATAGAATAAAGACAAGATTGGCATCAAGCTGTGACAACACTGAAATTTTGATTATCTTAAAACTCACTAATTTTGAGTTAGATACGTATAATGTACGTTTTAAGTACATAAACCTTAATCTATCTTTAAATGGTATTCTATTATTACAACTTTTGTCTAGGACTAACTTCAATTCAACAAAATATGTATATTATAATGTTTCATTTGTGTGACATATTGTTTGAATCTCAACGGTAACGATCGATTCATATTAATATTAAAAATCCCCCCTTTCATTGTATTACTAGTATATTGGAAAATAAATTTACTCACCCTATACAAATTATCATTTATCTTTTGAACATCTAAGATCCCACCATCTCCACATTGTGTAAACGCAAAAAATGTAGGGATTCCACAACGATTAATCATAAATACATCTTGTCCAGCACTTATTGCTACAGCACATGCACATTTTGCAGGAAGTGGTCCAAAATCACATTGTTTTATAATTTGTTGTACCTTTAATTTCCAATGTTATCAAATGGAATTATGATAATCATTTGTTAGGATATAAGATCGAAAACCAACACAATTTATCAAAACATATTTCGCTTATATAAGCTTCATAAGTTGATAAATAACTGAAAACACGTTGCGCTTTAATAAGCTTCGTCAGTTGATAAATACAATCATTTGTAAAATGTATTTTAATACTTCAATAAATTACTCTAGAGCTTACCATTGATCAACAATACAGGACAGTAATTATGCTTTCCTCGGTTATCAAATGACATTTGTCCCATGCTCCTAAATAAAGCCATTGTCTAAACTCACATACATGTTCATCATTCTGCTTTTTTTGTTTCATTTTATTTCTGAGGAACAATCAAGATATTTCATTCTTGCATAAAAGACTGCGCAGACTGACGTACATGTACAAAGGACAAAACGTGAATTTACGTGTAGATTCACGTGATCACGCTTCGTTGTTCATGGCGTAATGCAAGAGCAGCTTATTGCAATGACGGCTAGTACGTATTTTTATTAGCAAAACATAATCATAACTTATAAAAAAAATCAAATGACATCATAGTAACATGTGGAAAACATCTTACAATCAATGGTTTCATTTAATGTACGAAATACAAATATCGAAACGAAGAACAACCGACTTTGACATGTACCTTAATGCCAAAATAGCACTAATTTAATGCACCTTTTCCGTAAATGAACATCTGCAGAAGCTTGGGAAGGGCATTTATTGCATCCTCGTGCTTCAGCAGATGTTAACGCAAACCATCTATTGCATACTAAACAGTCAGGCAAAATATTAAAATGTGTAGGATTAAGCAAAATGTCGATAAAAATGTATAAACAAATTCTTTACCAAAATAATCATAAGAATTAAAACTAAATGAAAAATGCTTTTCGTACATCATAAAATTGTTTTAAACTAGAATATCATTTAAAAATGATTCGAATCGAGATATAATGAAAAGTGTCTACAAAGAAATTGACATTAACATTTCAGTATAGAATGTTTCTTAAACATTTTGTATTGAAATGTCTGAACTAAAATGTGAAAGATTCTTATTTACAATTACTACATAATTTTGATTTCATATAATCAATGTTGCTGTTGCAGTATAAAGCTATTCTGAACACCCTCATACAATAGTTTCACATATTATCAACTTTGTACGAAACTGTTTTTTTTGTAGTTAGAGCTAGCCAACGTTTCAAAAGTTTCTGTAGAGTGAGATTGCAAAAAATAATCGGTGAGTTTAAAAAGTTTAAATTGTCAATAAATAAGTGGCGGCGTGGCCGAGTGGTTAACGCGTCGGACTAGTAATCTAAGGATTGCTGACCGCGTGGTTAGCGGCAAGCCGTTGTTTTCTTGAGCAAGAAACTTTACACTCATTGCTTAGTACTGGTTGGTTTAGGAACGGATTCGAGAGAGTGTTCCAATAAGCTTATAGCTTCCAACACAAATGATCTAAAATAAATTTGTATAAACTAATGTGTGATTGATAATGACATAAACATGTAGATGTGTTTCTATCTTAAAAGATAAGTTCAACAAGGCAAGGCGCCTTTCCCAGAGCGCAGCATCCCACACACAACCCTACACACTGATAAGGCATCCAGCAGGGCAACGGATTAAATTGGAAGAGGGAAAAAGGGCAATGGAAAGAGGGGAGGAACGTACCAATAAACATCAAGTTAAACAGTATTTTGCCAATGTTAAAGTGTCTTGATAAAAGAGTCTTAAAATCAAATCATATTGTGTACTTGTATCAACTAATTTGTACAATATATTATTTTAAACAATGAGTTATTTATATTTCCTTGCAGATGGCATAATCACCACCGCATTGAAGTAAGCTAAAAAAAGACGACTTTCGAAATCAGAAATTAGCGCTTTATGAGTATAAAGGTGAATAATTTTGTAATTATTTAATGGCAAATCCTCGATATATTTCTTATATGTCCTTTTATTATCATTTTGTAGGTCAACATAATAGATTTAATCGTATTGCAAAACATCAACGGAAAAGAGAAATTCTGAATTACATTTCTTCCAATAATGGATTTCTTGAGTCTAAGAGATAATAAGTAACAGAGCGTAGTTAAATAAGAGCTGTTTGTTAACCATATCATATGTTCTGACTCAGAAAAAAAATTAACACTGCTAAACTGCTATTAAATGTTCCCCTAGCTGCCCTTTGCTAAGACGTGTCTTACTTAAATTCCTTAAAATGTCTTGCCATATTTTATGTAAAATCGTCAAATAACTGTATGGCAATACAAGGTGATAGCTAAAACTGAACATTATTGCGTACAAGACTTTTTTGAACTTGAGGTACCTGTAGCATTATATAATCGTTATTTAACTTTTCGCTTTCTCAGCGTGTTCACTTTTCCTTTTGAAAATCTGCAGAATGACGTTTTCGGCAGTACTTTAAATGTGAAAATGCCACAAGGTGTATGGGTAAAGATTTGTTTTATCAAGTTATTTTAACACAAACATACTACAATCTATCTAAAATGTCTAGATCAACTACTTATACATTTTAAAACTGATGTCAGAAACGCTAAGTAAAATTATTCTCAATTATAAAGCAAACATTTTACTTGTAAAAACACATCAGCAATTATTATTAATGAACACATATTTTTTAAACATCATTCAATTTGCACATTAATTCAACTTACTTCGATGTTGTATTTCTTATTGATATACAGCATGTATGTTCCTTGCACGCTATTCATATAATAGCTGAAATGATAATAAATGAGTTTACTTAGTAATAGAAAGTATTATTCGAAACATATATATTGTTCTTGTTTTTTTTCTTCAAACCAGTACACACGTCAATAATCCATATAAAACATATAATGACGTATAATTAAAGACGGGGTCAAAATAAATCAATCGAGATTGCATTTATATTTCGGAAAAAACGACAATAACAACAAAAAGAACACACAAAAAATCAATGAAAAAGAAAAGCAAAAAAAAAAAAAAAAAAAAAAAAAACAACAACACAGCAACAACAAAATATACTTACTAAAGAAAATGAAGATATGTAAGCCTTTAATATTCAAGGTATGAAGTGATGCAAGATAGGTGATAAAATGCATTGATTCGGAAAAGAAACGAAAAGCGTAGTTTTGATTAATATGTTTTTTTTCTGATAAACAATTATTCAGAGTTATCTCAGTGTTATTGCATCCTTTATAAGTAAACAATCACAATAGTATTAGTTTTTGAAAATGAGATTTATTTCGGCATGAAATGCTGTTATATCCATAGATACATAGCTAATAACATTCACATGTATTTTCTTAAACACCAGATAAAATTTAAAGACACTACAACATTTATAAAACAACACATGCATGTTAAAACTTTCTTAATTAATATCAATTAAAGTTTTGATGTGATTTTAATAAGTAAATATAATAAAACATACTATCCGTCGGCTGTTCTCATATGTTGACCGTTTTGAGATCTGCAAATCTTAGATTTGTAGGCAAGTATATTCTGTACAAACACCTAGCCGAGAGATTTAAATTATTATTACACCGATAACTACTCTGATAAGAACAATTTTAAGATTTGTGATTATATTCATAATTAACGCTAGAAATACTTTATAATTTGATATTTGGCTGTAATATCATTCCAATATGCTCAAAACATATGAAAGATGTCAATCAAAGGTTCCTACAAAACCGCAGCATATTTTAGAGATTGAGCCATTAAAATACCAACACACGTACTAAAAATGAGTTACTTTATGTGCTAAACTGTTTTGATTTTAATGCTCTAACGTATTCAACTTTTTATATGCATTGACCTCTCTATTTGAATCTAATATATATATATCTCGGTATACTCGTATACATCTTCTCATTAAACAATGTCATTTGGCATGCATTTGTAACTAGATACGCAGATAGAAATGTCCACATCTTGTAAGCTATCTGATTAAGTGTTTACAGAATAATTTGCAATCATTTGCTTTAACTCGAAATGAAGTATGATTTTATTGTATTATAATGTATTGGTTTTAAGATTATTTACGATGTCACAAAAATAAATTAAATAAAAAAATTCCTTACCACTAAATGTACACGCTAACATGCAAAATAACTCAAATATATGTATTTGTAATGATAAAGCAAACGTAGCGCGTTTACTCTTAGAATTAAAAGGTTTTAACGTATATATTTCATTTTTATTCGCAAATGTCTTAACTGCGAAAATGTTATTTATTTGCGCAATTTTGTTCTGAAACACACAATGTTTGTGCTCTGCTGCGGCATCACGCCTTTTAATTAATTACAAAATAGACTTCGATGGGCTTTGAAAGATTCATTAGAGCACATGCAATCTCTTATTGCATGTGCGTCTTTAAAGTCTTCATAATGAAGCACCACGAAGCTTTACATGTCACGTAGTTTCGACAGAAATACAAATGAGCAACTAATTCTCACATCCTCAAGATCAATATTGTACGTGAATGTTTAATATCAGTATATTTTATTTAAGATTTGTTTCAATATTGCTTAATTATGATCTGCTTAACAAGAGTTCTATGTTTAAATTTTTAAGATACCAATGAGGTCAGCAATACAAACTGTACCTTTATTTCTGGAAAGAAGTACTGTCTCCAAATTGTGTGACCCATTGTTTCATCAAATTGAAGTTTAAGGATGAATTTGTCTTTATCATCATAATTGTGGTCCGAAGTCACTATGGTAAAGTTGAACTGAGTACTTGGGTCCCATGTATCTCCCTCAGCCAGGGCCTTCAATATTATAATATTGCCAACACATTATATATAAGTTTAACGTGAAAAACGAGACAACGGCACTTTATATGCCATTGAAGCAAATACTATCTAATCAAAATTTTGTTTTTTATACTTTAGGTCACAATAGACCAGTGGTTTATTTCACAGACTTTACAGCTGCATTTTATAAATTTCATAAAAAAACAGAAATAGCTACATATGTTTAATAAAATGGGTTTCATAGCGACATCCGTTTTTATTTTGGTGTCCAGACCACCAAAATGAGTTTAAGTGCAACCTCAATGTAGCGAAATCTAGAGCACGCACATTTCCACTTACATGTGAAACTCCGCCTTTGGGTCATCCGAACATCAACAGAAAATAAAAGAAAAACATTACTTAGCAGTCAGAATATAACGGTATATTTCCGCATAATATAACAGATGTTTTCATAATTGTGTTACATGTAGTTGATAACCCTTGTACCTCATGTACCGCGAAGGCAAAAACGGTAAAAGTTGATAAGATGAGAAAATCAAACATGATACATTCATTATTTTTTTAAGTCTTACAATACACGATCTTATTGCAGTATGCAGTGTTGCATGTTAGAATTCATTTACGAAATTGTGTGTTTCCGCGGGGTTTTCCTTTTAAAGTAATATTTTCTAAACAGTATTTGATTAGATTTACAACAGTACTGTTCAAAAGGTAGACTGCTTGGTTTTAGGCTGATTACAAAATATTTCTTCATATTGATAAAATGCAGCTTGGCTAACATTCTTGATATATTGAATTCATTGATATAAGAACAGTATTTAGCTCTTCCGAAATATTACTGGTTCTTGACAAATGTTCGTTAGTTTCCGAAATAATACATGTGTAACAACGCATTACAATTACTTATATGGAGCAAAATGTCAAGGTCAGAATAACACAAATAAGTACGTCAAAAAGCAGCTGCTAACGAAATATTACGTCGGCATTTGCCACTGAAGTTTTGGTAGCAGTTAAGTGGGAAAAAATGTTTTATTCGGCAATGGTCATAGGCGTGTTATATATATCATCACAACCAGTCAAATTTTGATGTTACGAAAATGATATCTAAAAATTATGTTTTACTATTTAATTAAAACGCATACCACTTTCTCATATACATATTCCGTGCGCGATAAATATTTTATTAAAACAAGTTGAGCAAGTTTCTTGTGGCTAACAACAACAAAACAACAACAACAATTTACCATTATGTATTGTGTACATCTTTGAAATCCTGTTTCCTCCGGAACTTTGTTTAAAATTGTTCCCCTTTCACATTGCAAATGATCATCATTATCAACGAAAAGTTTAATTACTGACTTGCAAGTCATGGAAGTAGACATTCCTAGACCAATAATGTACCGACAACCAATTGGGACAGTTGAAACCATTTGTATTACTGCCGAACTTGCCTTATCAAGATATATATTTCTATTCGTAATCTGTAAATAATATTTTTCAAGAAATGAAATAAATGAAAAAATTTAAATTTGTATAAATGATTATATTACATTATATTACCCGATACCTTATATAAATGTAATTTGGTATTTTTTACTGTTTTCTGAAATTCTAAAAACGTCCACATTCGCGAACTGTTGACCGGTCAATAGTTTCGAGTGTTTCCCTCGCGTGCTCTCACGTCATTGACGTCATAGAGGATTCCCACTTAAAGCGTCTATCGATTTTGATCATAAACCAGACGTGACATGACATAGCACTTTAAAGTATTAAGTTTAATTATTAACATATGTGCAAAACTGTTTTCTTTTCTTCCTTTTTTATTTTGCTAGTACTATTAAAACAGTAGTTGATCAGAAAATAAAACTGTTATTTCATGCGTGATTTAGGAACAGTCAAACATTTGTCCCTCGGTGTCGGGAAAAGTGTTACGAACTGTTGCCCTTGGCCTACGGCCTTGGGCAACAGTTCAAAACACTACACCTACTTCGGGCCAACAGTTTGACTGTTCCCAAATCACATATGCAATGACTGTATAATGAGAGATTCTTCATGATCTCTATCCAATCGTATTATATATCGCTTATGGTAAAGTACACACTACAAATGTTTATTCACCTCATACATTATACACAACATAAAGTTAACAAAATGTCTCAGTCTGGGTAATGATTTGTTTGAATAGAAAATTGAGTGAATATCAACTGAAAACACATGTTAAGTTTATGTATCAGAGAGCATACTTCGCTGTTGTGACAAGATACATAGAAATGTTTTGCAATAATGTATTCTGTGCATTTTACTGTAGAGTTTCTTCTAAAAAATCCGCAGTCTATCAAATCTATCTGTTTGCAATAATAATAATTTGTTGTCAACATTTTGAGACAGTTTGTTTCTTTTCTGCAAATTATTTTGTTTACAATTTATAATTCATACTTTGCAGATGTCACAAAATGACATATTATACACATTTTTATTACGATTCCTTTCTCATACTTTATTCCAGAAAATAATCTACTATTAAGTTAAACTGTAGCGATTATAATGAGGAATGATGCGTGACTACATTTTGTGAAAAATTGTGAAATGATACAAAAACCTTGATCCCTGCGTAAAATTTTGAACTCCTTTTCATAGGTGTGAACATTCCATTGACACCAATCGAGGCACTTACTCCACATCTTATCTGTTGAAGAAGACCCATATATAAGCTCATTTGTTATGTTGCCATTATTTGATTAATTTTAATTGAAATTCGGGAAAACAGTAAGCAAGCGTATTTATATTTACTGAATGATTCCGTCTCCATGTTTTATAAGTTTATGTATTGAATATTAAAACTATCAGATTTAGTTAAGACAATGAACAACAATTTGTGGTTTAAATTAAAAATTTATTTCACTGAATACGTATCCAGCCTTAATGATTTCCCCAAAACCGAATGTGTGGCAATAATGTTTACGTTTATAACCTGTGAATTAATGATTGTTATAAAAAGTATTAATTAAACAAATGTTAGCACCATATCTCATGGAGCAACGGAAAAATCATGTGAATTTAAGACATCAAACAAAATTTCAATGTTGGTTATAATTTTAGCATTTAATGTTATACAAAACAGCATTAGCAAACTGAGGATCTTAACCTGACACTTGATATTATTATAATTCTGGGAATAAGTAAGTGTTAAGGACAAGGAGCTTAGAATCAGATATATGATTCAGGATTTATTTACAGTAACTTCATCATTGGAAATGAAACAGATGAATATGTGTGATAACAATCATAAGCCTAATTCAGAAATTTCTTACGTATATCCCAAGAGGAATGTTTCTTGATGTCAAATGATCTTCGTTTAAGACAAGATCAGCCATATCTGTACTTGGTCCCATTGTCTCGTTTAAGGGAATTTCATCAATATACCTGTATAAAAAGTACACGTTTACATTCAAATGGATCCGTTTGTCGAGATGGTAAAAAAGCTTTAAATATATATATATATATATATAATGAATTAAGGATGAAAATAACGTTCACACATTTGTAATACATTAAATGATTGATAAGAAAATGATATAAAAATAAAAATGCATTTTATACTATTGTATAGTATATATATACTTGTATATGCAAATAAAAAAGGTAAATTAAGAAAAGTTGAAAACAATATCTGACAATGCATCAACACAAAGCAATGTAAATAAACATGCAAATAAAAATGTTATTTCAGAAAATATCTTACCATGTAACTGTATAGAATAAATCTTCTTTGTTATTGAATTGACACCAAAATTTCAAATATGGTACTTTCTGAGTAAAAAAACCTAGCTGATCCGATATAAAATCCAATTCTGGTTTTACATATATTCTTCCCAAGTCAACATTTTCCGGAGCAAGAAACATTGCAGATCTTTTGAGAAGTTTATGCTTTTCTGTATAAAATAAAATAAGTGGCAATAGAGCCATTTTGTGCGAAAGGTGTTAAAAGCACTAAGCATTCACGGAACACACACACACACAAAACAAGCAATTTGATTAATGAATTTATCTTTCGGAGCATAAGTTGAAAACCCTTGGAGATAATTTGTTTAAACTTCATACAGTGGTAGAGGGCATTAAGAGGGAGTGCAGTGTCAAAGAACCATAACTCTATTTTGCCCGGTTTTTGAATTATCTCCCCTTTTAGAAAAATCTTATCCGGGACATAACTCTAAAACCAGATAAGAGATATCAACATGAAACTTTGTAGGTAAATGGATCTCGATGAGTAAATGTGCAGTGCACAAGAACCATAACTCTTTTTTGCCTAATTTTGGAGTTATTGCCCATTGTTAATTTTAACACTTTGAACTTTGTCCGGAACATAATTCTAAAACTGAAAGAGATATCAACATGAAACATTGTAGGTAGATATATTTCATTGCAGTGCAAAAGAACCATAACTCTGTTAAGCCTCATTTATGAATTATCTCCCCTTTTAGGAAAATCTTGTCCAGGGCATAGCTGTACAACTATAAGAGATACTAGTATCAACATGAAACTTTATAGGTAGATATATCTCTATGGGTAGATATGCAGTGCAAAAGATTCATAACTCTGCCTTGTCTAATTTTGGAGTTATTGTCCTTTGTTTATTTTTACTTTTTGAACTTTGTCTGGGATATTACTCTAAAATTATAAGAGATATCAACATGAAACTTTGTTAGTAAATAGATCTCATTGAGTAAAAGTGCAGTACAAAAATACTCTGTTTTGCCCAATTTTTGAATTATCTTCCCTTATAAAAAATCTTGTCTATGAAACTCTAAAACTACATGTATAAGAGATATCAACATAAAACTTTGTATAATTAATGATTGAACTTCACAATGTTATATTTTGTACAATATTTTTATTATCATATATTTCCATTGTTCCTATATCTAGATTTATGTAAACTTTTCTTTTAAGCCTTTTTTTGTTAGACTCTTAGTATTTACTATCATAATGTTCACTTTGGAAAGCTGAAAATACTTAAGTAAATAATCAATCAATTGCTCAATAAGTTTGTATATAATCAAGAACAAATCAATATGAATTGATTTTATTTATCAATGCTCAAACACAATCTATACTACATGTTTTCATTAATTGAACTATTTACATGATTTATATTTCAGAGAAAGAACAAACAAAAAAGAAGAAGATAATTATATTAACTCTCGCTTGATATCGAAAACAATAATCAGTCCTTATTATTTTTCAAACAATGCCTTTTATTGTGAATTACTATAAGCATGTAAATCATTTAATAGGTAAATACATTGTATATGTTTTCATTTCCTATGTAAAATGTGCTATTGTAATGCATGTATGAGATCATGTCAGTTTTGCACGTTTGCCATATTATATGTTTTGCATATTATACCACATGGGTCTATGACCTTCTGGGAAAAGATAAATAAACTTGTTGTTATTTCCTGTTTATTTTTCTTCAGCAAATAGCATAATTATTATATTCGTTTTATAAATGAACAATGTGATAGATTAATAAACCTAATATTTTGCAGGCCTACTTAAAAAAAGAAAATCAGAGTTTGGGTTCTTTTATAAAACAGTAATCAGGCCTCTCGTCTTTCTGTATGATTATTGTTCAGCTCCATTTAAGTTCACTTTAAATATTTTTTATCTAACTCTCAACAGAAATCAAAAATAATGTAATATAATGCATCATTTTTAGGGCTTCTTGTTTAAAGGAGCCGAGACTTTGTATGATAGTATTATTGAACAAGTTTGATCAGCATCGCTTATGGCACACCTTTTGGACCTCAAGATAATTGCAAAGCATGAAAAGTATATGTCGATGATGCAAATGAAGGAGTGGGTCAATTTGAGATTTTTAAGAGAAAAGAAAATTCTTCCGGGCTTATGGATTTCGTGAACAAAAGTTTTGAAAGAGAACACAATTTATTCGTAGAAAGACAAAATTGCATGACATATATATTATTCCATGATCTTTAACATAATTATGAACAAATGGATAATTTTGCGGCATGTTATTTGTCATTTACAAGTTCAAATAGTCTGTCTCAGCATGTGTTTAAGGTTATTTAGATTGATAACCATCGGTATATTGCCATGTTTATACAATACAAGTCGGTAACATTTTATTATTATTTTGTATTGTAGGCAGCCTTTGATATTTCCGTCTCCTGTTTTACATATGACACAAACATTTTCATTGTTCTCAAAAAGTCTTACAACCATACAATATATAGTACTATGAATGCTTAGGTATAAAGGTTACATTGACTTTTATTTTGATAAACATGGCTTGATGTTATAAACTGTCTGGCATAAGAACATAATGTACTGTTTTTTGTTTTGTTTATTTTTTCATTGAAAAATACGAGGGGGTTTACTAGATTCTTCTATCTATATTTGACCATAGTACTATATTTCATAACAATCATTTATACACTATGTTTAAATTAGGTTTTATACTCGTATGTACGTTTTGGGGCAAAATATGTGACCTATTGGACTTCATCGCGTATCTGTCTCCGACTACATGCTGACTTATTGCCGAAACCAAATCATTCAGTCTCAAAATATCCACCAGAATATTCTGTGAAGCCTGATGCCGGAATGTTTGCAAATACCATTTTCAGTGCAAGGTGCGAAAACGAAAGCACAAAGGGCAAGCTCCGCACTGTGGATGAGATTTGCATATATCGTGTAGTGTCTCCGTCGTCAGGTTTGCAGTGTGCGAGGTTTGTCTGCTAGGACTGAAGACCTCGGTAGCTGAACATTTCACTTTCTGATCATTTTTTAATCGACTGAGTCGCATAATCGATGTCACTTTGTTTTTGAAAACATAGCAGTTCAAATTATGGCTTAAAAATCATCAATTATGTCATCGGCAAAGATTTGCGGGAATGTCATTTTCACAGAACGTCACGCAACATTAACATCGCGTGTGTATCGCGTGTGTATTATGCGTTTTTATTGTGTATAAAAACTCTTAAAACCGGACCCTCTGAAAACCGGAATCCTCTGAAAACCGGACCATTTTAAAAGTCCTGTATTTTCTCCTTCTATGTGCATTGAAAAAAATCCTCTGAATACCGGAACCTCTAAATTCCGAAAACCGGCCGATTTTCTATAGTTTCTAATGCTAAACATGCATAAAAAATCCTCTGAAAACCGGACATCACTTGTAAGTGTCAACTTCCTGTGTATTGTAATGTTGATTAAAACATAATCTCAACTGGTGGCATGTTGAATTACCAATTAATGATCACCTCCTTTTTATCTATGTAGGTGTGAAAACACTTGTCAGTGTGTGTTAATTTCTATTTGGCAATTAAATTAAAGCTCTGTCATCATCTGTGTGTTTCCCTGTATAGGTATTATTTGAATTTTCAAAATGTTTTAAATTTATTGTTTTTGTTTTTTTAATATAAAAATGTCTAAAAGAATTGGGAAACTTGTGTTAAATGATTCCTGTTTTGCTTAAAATTTTGACCTTGAAATTATCTTTGTTTGGATATTAATTATATGCAAAAAGGTAATACTAAATTCCATTAATTACATTTTTTAAAAGCCAATTAAAATATATATTTCAGACAATGTGTTGTTTTAATTCCTGATTAATCTTCTGAAGACTTTTGGTCAAGTCCGGACAGGGTCCGGTTTTTAGAGTTTTTACTGTATATACTGTCTTAAAAAGTGTCACATTCTTATGTTCCGATAGCGACGATTTTAAAAGAATTGCATGTAAAAGAATAGCTTTGTCCACTTAGCATGCATACACATATTAGCGTTAGATTGGACAAGCATTAAACATTATTATATTTTCTCAGAACCGTTCTATACGCTCTCGAATAAAGAAAACTAAAAATGTGATGTACGACAGCTGTAAAGCCCCTTCCTCATTATCTTACTGTTGTTATAATCATTCTGTTCTTCTAGAGCATTGATGTCAGTTAGTTTACCAATTCAGTTTGAATACTGGTTAGTCTGGTCGTTAGTGTTGTACTTCTCATTTATCTAAAGTACAGAAACTCAAACTGAGTCGACAATATTCACCTTTTGATTGTTTTTATCGTTCTCGAGCGATTTTCCATTTCTAATATTGCTGACGTGATCAGAAAAGACTTTATCTTTAACAGAACTTAAACGAGCAAAGTTTAACATATTATTCAGTACTTACCAAAACAGTAGGCGCTGTACGGTGCAGTTGATTTCAATTGATATTGGATTTCGTCTTTGCATTTTCTCACTTGAATAGTAAATTGTGTACTACATTGCTTTTTACCATTACGGACACAAGCTACTATGTCAGTCGGATCCTCTCCAAGATCGTTTATTAAAGTATGATTTTCTGAAAAAAAATAACAAAGGATAAATTAAAGTAAATATATTGTAATAATTTACGTATATAAGCATGTAATATTAGCCGGTAAAAAAAATGAATTTACAATGTTTAGACACAATCATTATGACTATAACCAGTGTATTAAAAGACTCTAGATTCAGGTGATCAGGTTTTTCTTTTCTTCCGAAAGGAAAAATCGTATAACTCGTATAACTCAACTTTAACAAGTTTTGTTTGAACATTAGAGTTTCGTCCCATTATTTGTAAATGGCACACTAAAATATCTACACTGAAATAAACTAATTATACATAATTATATATCCTGTAAATGATTTAAATATGTTTCTATGTTTGGCATCGATTCACCTTTTAAGTAGATAGGCTTGTACGTAGAACATTGCAAGAAGTGGGGTTTATTCGAAACGTCTGTCATGATGTATTGCCAACCATCAAGCGTTGTACTATACCATCCAGATATATTAGCGGCATCACTTAAGAATATTTCCTTTCCTCCATTCAATGGTTTGGTTCGTACCTGCGGACTCCTTAAGTGTAACCCACTGAGAAGTCGAACATTGTCATCGCAGCTATCTGTTAGAAATAAATTATATATGATAAAACACATTAAACTCATAGAATTGTTTATGTAACGATGGAAATATTGGGACAACAACATTCGGAAATTGTTTTAAATAGTAACAATTTGTTCAGTTAACAAAGCAATTAAAATTAGTCATTAACAATCCAGTTTATAGAGAGAGGGAGAGAGAGAGAGAGAGAGAGAGGAGAGAGGGAGAGAGAGAGAGGGAGAGAGAGGGAGAGACACACAGACAGAGACACAGACACAGACAGAGAGAGAGAGAGAGAGAGACAGAGAAAAAAAGAGAGAGAGAGAGGGGGAGTGTTTCATGCTGAAGAGTTCTTGTTGAAGTGTAGGCATAAACCTTCCACTTTCGACCTGATTACTTTCTTTATAATGATTTTGATCTACTACCTGCTAAGGAAATATGCATTACGTATGACATAGCTAAGTTATATAGTTGAACGCTAACAAAATAGGAAGTTAAAAAAAATCAGCTTACAGGATGAAACGCAGTAACAAATTGTATTTATTTATTATTTATGAAATGTTTATTTCCCCCATCTACGACTTATTTAGTCGTTGACCTACTTAACGTATGCAAGCACGAAGTTTATCTTAAAAGATGCGGGGTTTAAATGCATCAAATGTTAAATAACAGCTTTTATGTTTGGTTGCAAAAGCCTTCATTGCTTGTATTTTATACAGTCGCTATTTACACTTGTGATGAAAATCGTTCAAATGTAAACGAGCACCTGCTTCGCACTACAATTGTGCAGATACCAACGGACCGATAAATTAGACATTTTATCGACAAATCTAAGACGAATATAAAGGGACTTGTACAGACAAGGAAAAATAAGCTAGACAGCCAAACAAAAAAATGTGTGTTGTTCACGACAAAGACAATAAAATGGTAACACAATGCAAATAGTTTAAATAAGTTCTAGCTATCCAAATATCACATGGGACAAAAACGCATTAATATAATTGTATGGACAGTTTTGTTTGCATGCTACAGATCTTAATTACAGTTACACTTTAAACTGTCGTAAAATACAATATTTATCAAAATAATTAAATTTAAATAATATACAACACACTTGATATAATAGTATTGAGTTTTTATGCTTTAACAAAAAGTAAAGTTAAAATAACTACTCGTAAAACGAATATCATACGGGAATCAATTTGTTATAAACATTACACAAATGACACAACTGACTATGCCGTAAATAAATGATGTGCATGAACATGTGTGTAGTACATCCCACTGTTCTAAAGCGTTGTGAAAGGTTAACCCTGTCATGGTGGGATTAGCTATTTCGTTCGTATTAATATTCGCTTATTTAATTGCCAGCTTGAAACGTTAAATAAGCCAGCTTGAAACGGTATCAGTGTTAAATTCTTAATTAAAGAAAAAAACTAAACATATAACATTTTCTTTCCTTTGAAATTTAATAAAGCTCCTTACCATTCTTTCTTTTACCAATATAAACATATGTACCCAAAGGACAGGTTATTTGACCTTGGTTTCGAGGTCTCAATTTTTCTTAAGTTTCCAAACATATCCTTATATTCAATATCTCAATTTTGACTATAAAGTTCACGGTGACAAGGACAGAAACTATTGATAACTTTGAATGAAAAGCAGGCATTATGTCAAAATTTATATCTTCTGATATCAAACTTAAAACTTGTCTTAAGGGTAATGGGAAGTAAAAGGAACTGTAAAATTGACAATATAGGACAGTTATATGTCTTAAAGGTCACCTGTGTGCACAATTTAAATAAAATTTGCAATGTGGTTTATGAGATATGGATATTTTCTGAACTAAAACTTTGCTTCTAGAAGTTTTTTTCAGAAATTAGGAAACTATAAAAAATCTATAATATCATCAAAAATGTTTTCCTATTGCTCATTGTTAAGAAACATAATATTATAATATCATTCAGGTTACAAATACACGAGCAAAATGATTGTTTCTAAGCAAAATATTTTCATATGTATATACACCACCCACGTAAAACACTTATTTGACCATTTCCCTATATAAAGAGCCTTATTCAAAATATCCCTACAATTTACCACAATGAGGGGCTGTTTTTAAAGCTTGATCATACGAAATATACAATACTTTTACCGTGTAGTTTTTTTTATCAAACTTTGAAAATATCTGGAATCATATTTGCTTTTTAATTTGGCATTATTTAGCAAATAAATATATTCTGTTCAGTTCGTTAGGGAACTATTGGCAACATTTTGGAAGAAAATTTTTAACTGACAAACGGGCAGTTCATTTTCCGGTAACATACAGCGAGATGCAAATTTGAAGACCATTATTTGGACACTTTTTGAACATTTTTCTGTACAGATTTCATAATTTTTAACCTAGAGAACAAAACATTTGACACAGTTCAGCTATGTTCTCTTCGTAGCTGAGATTTAATGAAGTAGACATTAAAATATTCCCATTTATGGAGGTTGAAATAAATTTATTTACTTAATTTTAGAAGAGACATGCAATTATTGTTGATAAAAAAGTCACTGACAACCATTGAACAAAGAAAATACTAAATAAAACATTTTCGGGGTTGTCCGGTTTTGGTGGTCCCCAACCAGTACATTTTGGTGTATTCACAAATACTGCTATATATGCAACATTTCAAGACTATATAATGCCATAGCAACCATATTTTTCAACATAGGAAGAAAATACTTAATCTCCATTTGGTTATCTACAAATATTTCAAAATTGAATTTCATAAAAGACATTCGAGTACTTTTTGCGTTATCAAGGGATCAAGTTTTCCGTGAACGACCGGACGTTCGACAGAATGCAGCCGAGAGGCGGACAACCCTTATGTTTTCCTAGGGGATTCGGAATAGTATCACAAACAAAACAATGACTACATTTATATTTTATTAGATATTGCATTTTTGTCATTATTCATGTAAAAAGACATTACATAATTGCGTTTAATATAAAATGATAAATCAAATAACTTACACACGGAATAACATACTGCAACTATCGCAACACATATATACGCAATTCCTCCGCTCGCCATTATATCATATGCACGACTGTTTTGCAACGATGTTTAAACAAGATGGTTACCCGGAAGATTTTTTTTGTCAATTTTCACATAGAATAGACAACACCTTACATTTTAGTAAACGCATTCAACTTTGCTATATTGGAAGTTTCCTTTAATATATGGCTGCTTTGCCTTCGCTAAAATATGATTAACAATATCAACAAGGAAAGGCAGTGTTAAATGAACGTTGCAGCAACCCACACACGATCCAGCAACAAGAGTCAGTGGCATAAAAACTTCAAACAAATAAAATAATATAAGTCCCGCCCCTTATCGGTAAACTTTATCATTTATCGTGTGACAATATGTAAAAACTGTAATATATGTGAAACTAAACATTTAAATTAAATGCAGGTAACTATCCAAAAAAGCGGTCTTCACCTGACCTCTCAGAAACCTGCAGAATCGATCAATTAGCCACTGGAAGCTCCTGTTGCTGTCAGAACATAAGTCAAACAGTCTATCTGGCTTTAATGTGGCATTGTCCGTGATCTTTAAAGATCGTTCAGCATTACTGTTGTGTTTGCGATATTTTAAGTTTTCTCTTTTTTGCATTTTTCTTGTTGAGTGGTTTCAATTTTCCTACTTGAATAATGTTGAATTAGTTACCCTTAGGTTGCCTGTTTTTTAGTTTTGTCTTTTGACGTCTTATCTGTAATATGCAGGGATTAACCTTGTCCCCTTTTTAAAAATTTCCCTTTTTTTTGTTTTCGCCCTTTTTTTTTTTCGTTTAAGCACACGCTTTTTTTTAATTTGGGGAAAAACTCCGCTTTTATGGAATGGACGGCAGTGTCACATTAAGGGAAAAGAAGCGGTGTTTTTCTTTTCAAATTTCCCCCCTTTTTTAGTTTAATTTTAATTCTGTTAACGGTGCAGCGAGGGGGGACATTTTTTGCACTTTTCCGGACGTTTTTTTCAAAGTGACACGCCCAATTTCCATCCAGGAAAACGGCCTAAGGGGCCCCATTAAAGAAATTTTTTTTGCCTAAACAAAAACATTGGGCGGAATTAAATCAAATAAAATTAAATTTTGAAAGGTGATCAGTTATCCTAAGACATGCGATCATGTGGATATTTTTAATGAACAAGATATATTTATTACCGATACACTTCGTTCTATTGTAAATTACGTAAGTTCTGCCATTGTTGTACACATTTTTGTAAAGATTTTATTATAATCTAAAAACTCCTTTACGATTGAGATGTGGTTTATACTCTTCTACTCGTCGTAGGACGATTGGTCTTGGTAATACTTTGATAAAAAAATTATCGACCGTTTTATTAAAAGAAATTATGAGCCCCCTTTTTAAGGCATATCGCATGCTTGGTATTCTACACTTTTTCAGCCATCCTCGTTTGATTGAATGTGATGGACCCAGACCCAGTTGAAGACTTTTTCATGGGCAGCTATTAACCTTCCGGACTATTTTATTTTTCGTCTTCTGTCTTGATTCATCGGGCCCTGTAGGTGATTATCTTGTTTTAAGACACCGAAACCTTTTGTCGTGATAATTGGGCTGAATCCTATAGTATATTTATACCATGATAATTTCTGTATTTTATTTCGTCTAATGTAACCATGACATTTTTTTCGAATTTTATTTGGAAGGATATAATGTATCGCCATGTAAGTATATGTTTGGGCCCTGAGTGCCGCCTTAAACCAATTTAAACTCCCCAACGTTGTAAATACTACTGATTTTTAAAGGTTGAACCAATGTGTGTTCCTTCCCATGTTTCAGATGTCTAAATTGTGTATTGTTCCATTTTTCATAAAGTGACATGCATCTGTGGTATATGTGGTGTATTTTTTTTGCGACGCTCGTCAACAGTAACTATTTACTTTCCATTCCCCATCATTTCCAATTTTATGTCATCACCCTCCTCGTCTTTTCCTTTCATTTAACCCTTGTCACTTTGCGCATTTTATTCCCGCATTAGCCTTTTGTTATCATTCCCCTTCTTAGATTGTTAACTATAGTAGTCCTTGGCATGTCCGTTTCTTCCTTTCTTGCGTTCTTTGAACGTCGCCTTGCCTTGTTTACCGTTGTTCTCGTGTTATGGAGATAGTAAAAGTAAAATGACAATGAAAAGAAGAATTACATGTATCGGTATGCCAAACGTCTTCAGGGTATGACATGCAAGCTATATGTTTTCCAATTTTACTATTTCAAAAGATTGATCAAATCATGTTATCGAGTTAGAAATAACGCTGAAATTCACGATCATACGCGACTCGTGGCCTTCAAATTAATTACCTTATTTTCATTTATTTGTTTATTGGTGATTTCCTTTCTTGAATCGTTTTTATGTCCGATGTTCTGCTTTGCTCCTTGCAGAGCCTGTGTTACTAGTATTAGTTTGGAGTTGCGTTCATTAAATGTTGCTTTTACCGTGTTGATCTTTATATATCTTATATATTATGCACATTGAATTAACTCAATTCAAAACACCACTTTCTTTATGTCATTTAATTTTAGACTTCTTGCATTCTCTAAAATTGTTTTTTAAATTTGTCACTCGAGAAACACATAACGGAATCTCATGAAAAAATGACGCCAATTTAACCGGAATAATTACAATCACTTCAAATGGAATAATTCACTGTTGCTGTCACATTACCCAACTCTGTTTGTCTAAGTAATGTCAGGTATAACCAACGCTGCAAAAATCATATCTGAAAGACAGTACTTATAGAAGCATGTGTGAGGTTTTTCTATTCCAGAAACAGAGAATGCTGATGTCGAGTTCCTAAACTTTGGTTAAGCGCATCCTATCAATGTTCTATGGAATTTGTTTAGACTTTAAAGGTCATGGTAGCAATCAGAAAATCTGCTGCCTGCTGCATTTGTCGTTCCTGCCATGTGTGTCGGTACTCCGTCGTGTAAAAAAACCCATGCCGAGTACATTAGATCGTAGATCGTAGAATTTCACTGGCAGCAAGTTGTCCTGTTGATACCTAGCCGCGTCAGAGAAAACTTTGTTTTGCTGTTCAACAACTCCCAAACTGACACCATTGCTGATTCGTCACAATAATGATCGCTCTGAATGACAAAGTCGTCATTTAGGTTTATACCTGAGCGCTTGCCAACACACATCCTACTATCGTTTGAGAACAATTTGAAACGGCTCTCGTCGGAAACGCATTCATAAGTATTAGATATTAGATTAAGTATTTCTTATGGAGAAGAAATAACACTTTTTAAACCTTTGCTCCTTGTATGGCATATTATTAATTGTTGTAGGTTGCTTTATTCGCATGATAAGTGTCTAAAATGTTGTTAGTCAACACTTTGAAAAAGGTTTAGCAAAATTATTATCATTTAAGAGGCTTAATGTGCCTTTAAGCCAATACAAAGACAAAACATGATGTAACATGAAATGTAATTGCAATGTCATAAAGTATTACGTTTCAAAACAGCATTGAAAACAGGGCAAAAAATACCTCATTGAATGACAGGCTAATTTGTAATTTATTTTGGTTAAATGATTGAATGCATATTATACATGTACGCCATAAACATTTGTTTCATATTTCGTAAACAAAACACGTTTAAATCAATAAGTTTACATTATTGGTATGTAAATAAGTTTGTAAATAATATATGTTTATGTTACGTTAACAATTGAGAAACAGGAAGAGAATACCGGCAAGATTTTAATCAATAACGGTTAGGTCGAGTTGCACCATTTCCATTCAGATAGGCGTGCAGTCATGGGTGTGATAGCGCTCTATAAATAGATTATCTTTGTTAGTGGGAAAAGATTTTTTTAAATGTGAACGATTTCGACAGTGCTAGATGTGTTGATATTGTTCATAAGATTAAAATTATGATAATATAAAGGATATGCAGTATAAGTGTACAGTGAAGATGAATCTTCTTTTTATTGTGATATGGTGTTTATTGGGTCTGATGCCGGGTAAGTGTTCTGCTTTGTATTATGCATAAAAGAAAGGTTACTTTGAAAAAGGTTTAGCAACATAAGGCGTCGGCATCCATTTTATTAAGCCTGTTTTGTCAATATACATGTAACACACACAATGAGTTTTAGGGTCTCGATACATCCTTATAGTAACAGATTTAAATGGTACTGACTTATTTATACGTATGATTAATACTATGAAATAGGTCTTTTTACAACACATGCTCGTACATTGTATTCTAATTATGTGTGACTTATTCAGTAATTGAATAAAAACAAATTTTAATTTACATCATGTTTTAACGTTTAATTGTCTTGTATGTTTTTAGATAATGTTGAAATGAGCTGTTACAATCCACCTTCAGGTAGGTGTAAATATTACATATTTCATTTCTTATATCTATCTCACTTTATTACCCTTCAGGTAGGTGTAAATATTACATATTTCATTTCTTATAACTATCTCACTTTATTACCCTCCAGGTAGGTATAAATATTATATATTTCATTAATTATATGTATCACAAGATGTTCTGGAGGTACTTAATATCTGCGGATACATGCAATTCATTATAGACTTTACCCTTGTGATGTACTTTTTAAATATATTAAAATGTAAAGAAAATCAAGTATAGAAGGACATTGGATTAGTTTGGTTGAAATAACAAATACATATCTAATATATATGCATGTAACAACAGGAGGAAAAAGAGGAAACAAACTGTTGTGATTTACTAATACCAATTTCATTGAAGAAATGATCATCATGTTATGATGTCCTTATGTTCTAGTGTTGTACCCCTTCAGATGAGTTAAAATATATCGCGGAAAATAGTATCACTTACTCTGCATCGTCTAGTATTTAATAACAAAACTTTGCCACCTGTGTTAAAATAATATTCAACTATTAATGATCTGTCAGTGTCTTGATCAGTGATGCTATAAGGTAACCCTGGTAATATTGATCAGCAATCATTAACCGACAGATACTGAAATATGAGAACGTCTCGTAAAGTTGCTATTGAAATGCCATAATTAGACTGGAACATTTCAATTTAATATAATGTGAGGTTCATTGCATTATATTGCTTTTTTATGTCAACGGATCAACTGACAAATGATTTTAATCTTTATTATACTGTTATTTATTACACTGCCTTTTTGTAAAGGATATGAAAATGATATGATATGACAAAAAAGTTTAATTCAGGTAATGAGGAAATTCGTTAGATTAACAGTTTATCATAACTTTGTTATTTATCATTATTTTCATTATTATTGATGTTGTCATTATTTTGAATTATGTATTGATACCTTCCTATATTTGTCTTGTCTTTTTATGAACTATCACTTTTGTTCTTAAATACCATATCGAATAGTTTCTACTTTTTTTGCTTGTAAAAATTATATTTAAATATTTCCTACCAGTTTTCGCTTTACGCTAACTTAACAAAATACATAAAGATATTTCCTTTTAACTTCAGAGCTGTGTACCAATGACATGGTAGAAATCCCAAGTTTGGAAACTAGAGATCCGTCAGTCATGATCACTAACAAAACGTCACACTGGACATTCTGTGATGTGTATGCGATCGACACAAATATATGGTACAAAAGTGAAATCTCTATGACCACGCAATGTCCTTCGATGTATATGTGTGGAGCAAAGTTTCCTATTTGGATGAACGGTTCGTACATTTATAAATATCAAATATATCAAAAGACCAAAAATGATGTTTAAAACGCCTTCCCATTAAACATGACATTTCAATAACTTAAACTTGTATTTTCGTAGTTTCAAAAGAAATATATCATGTATTTAGCTAGAAATTCAAGACATATTTATAATGATATTCAGTGACTAATTAATTAATTAGGACAAAATTATAATTAATGGAACTACTACTCAAGTACTTGCTTTCACAACAACCTGAATTAACATTTAACAATGTTCTTGCCCTGCAGTTTTACTAGATACTGATTTTGAATTCCTAGGTGAGAATCCAAGTCCCGGAGATGGGTTAGTGAACAGGACATCCTGTTTAAGAGACTTTGACACCTGTTGTCTACGTACCTACAGGGTGACCGCTGTCAATTGTGAGTGGTTCATGGCCTACTGTTTTGTCGATTTGCCTTCCGGTTGCCACCAGAGATATTGCTTCGGTTTGTATTTACTGTCACTGTTTACTTACATGTATATACTAGTACACGTTAAATTTCCTTTGATGTAAAAAAGGTTAAATATACAGTCATGTTATCATTTTCACTAGTTGATTAATATTTCAGAACATAATTGATTAAAATTTGTCAAACAAGAAAAAAATTCTGTAAAATGACATAAAATATGTTGCTGAACAGTATAAATATTTTAAAACTATCATTTGACTTTTCTATTATTTTAAGACAATAATTTTACGTCAACCTCAACACCGTTGCCAACGTCGAAATTCACAGACGAAAACAACGGTAATTCGCCAAGCAATACAATGGCTCCCAGAAGCTCAATTACAACGACAGCACAGAAAGGCACCGAAGGAAGCCAAACACAAACACAATCTAGTAGGAACTCCTGATTATACAGCTTGATAACATGATACTATAAACCATTCTATTTATATACATACAATCATTTAATATATTCCATTATCATGAAATGCTGTAATCTAGTAAGTTTTATTGTAATATTGTTATATTATTAATGAATACGTAGGAAGTACTATGAAATATGTCTCTTTGACATATTTGTGCATTGTATTTGAATTATGTGTGGCTTTTGCAGCGAATGAATAAAACAGACATTTATTAACATAATGTATTTAAGTTTTATCGCTCATTTGTTTTTAGATAATGTTGAATTGAGCTGTTATAATCCACCTTCAGGTAGGTATAAATTATTTCATTACTTATAACTATCCCAAGATGTTCTGGAGGTGCTTAATATCTACGGATACATGAACTTAATTGTTGACTTTTCCCTTGTAATGTCATTTTTTAAATATATTGAAATGTAAAGAAATTCAAGTATAAGAACATTGGATTAGTTTGGTTGAAATAACAAATTAATATCTTATACATGTATATATGCATGAAACAACAGGCGGAAAAAATAAAACAAACTGTTGTATTTTGCTTATACCAATTTCATGGAAATCATTATCGTTATGTTCTAATTTCTTTATTGGCCAAGTGTTGTACCCCTTCAGATGAGTTAAACTAAATCTAGGAAAATAGTATCATTTACTCTTCATCTTCTAGTATTTAATAACACAACTTTAACACATAAACCACGGCGCACGAGTGTTCTAAAGCCATTTAATAAAAACAATATTTCAAAAGTGTAATAACACTTTGACCTGACGTCATTTGCGCAATATTTCAACATAGCATAAAAGCGCGCTAATGATAGCGTTACACTATAGACACGTCATTGAAAAAATGACTCGTTTTAACTGTAAACCGTCCTCTTTTTGAATATGTAATAAATAAAATATTATATTCGTGTAGATTCAATACTAAATTTATTAAACTCGCCAGAGGCTTGCACAATATGATTATATTCAACTCGTTCAATAAATTAAGTATTAAACCTGCAATAATTCAATATCCTTTATATATCACCTGTGCAACTATTAATGAACTGTCAGTGTCTTGATCAGTGTTGCTATACGGTAACCCTGGTAATATTGATTAGCAATCATTAACTGATAGATAATTAAATATGAGACCGATCGTAAACTTGCCATTGAAATGGCATAATTAGACTGGAACATTTCAATTTAATATAATGTGGAGTTTATTGCGTTTTATTGATGTTTATGCCAACTGATCAACTTACAAATGATTTTAGTCATTTTATAGTTTGCCTTTTTTGCAAAGGATATAAAATTAAAACAACAACTTGTCAACTTTATTGAAACAATTAACGTTAAATCAGGTAATGACGAAGTTTGTTAAGTTGTCATTTTATAATTTGATCTACAATTATCAATATTATCATTTTTTGCTGTTGTCATTATTTTGTATTCTGTATTCGTGCCTTTCCTTTCTTTGTTTGCTCTTCTTATGAACTATCACATTTGTCCTTCAATATAATTTCAAACAGTTCATTTTATGAGTATATTTTCTTCAATATTTCCTTTCAGTTTTCGTTTTACGCTAACTTAAAAAAAGATAGAGATATTTCCTTTTAACTTCAGAACTATGTAACAATGACATGGTAGAAATCCCAAGTTTGGAAACTAGAGATCCGTCAGTCATGATCACTAACAAAACGTCACACTGGACATTCTGTGATGTGTATGCGATCGACACAAATATATGGTACAAAAGTAAAATCCCTATGACCACACAATGTCCTTCAATCTATATGTGTGGAGCAAAGTTTCCTATTTGGATGAACGGTTCGTACATGTATCAATGTCAATTATGTCAAAAGACAAATAAATAAAAAAAAACAAAAAAGATTTTAAAAACGTCTTTCCCTGAAACATTTTATTTCATTAACTTTAAAATGTAATTTTGTATTTTCAAAAATAATATCTGTAGCTAGAAATCCAAGCCATATATATAATATTTAATAACAAATTAATTAGGCCAAAATTATAATTAATGAAAATAATACTCAAGTTTTTTTCTTATACAACAACCTGAATTAATATATAACAATTCTCTTGCCCAGTGGTTTTACAAGATACTTTTTTGTAATCCTAGGAGAGAATCCAAGTCCCGGAGATGGGTTAGTAAACAGGACATCCTGTTTAAGAGACTTTGACACCTGTTGTCTACGTACCTACAGGGTGACCGCTGTCAATTGTGAGGGGTTCATGGCCTACTGTTTTGTCGATTTGCCTTCCGGTTGTCACCAGAGATACTGCTTCGGTTTGTTATTACTGTCACTGTTTACTTATATACACGATATAAACACTTAATTCGTTTTATGCAAAAAAAGGTTTAACAATCGTTATTCACTTGTTAATAAATGTTTACAAAAAGAAAATTGAAAAAAAAAATCTGTCAAACAAGGAAAATGTTCATTTCAAATAACATACATTATGTTGCTGAACAGTATAAACATTTTGAAACTGTCATTGGACTTTTCTATTGCTTTAAGATAATAACTTTACGTCAACCTCAAACCCATTAACAACGTCGAGATCCATAGACAAGAACAACGGTAATTCGCCAAGCAATACAATGGCTCCCAGAAGCTCAATTACAACGACAGCACTTAAAGGTACCGAAGGAAGCCAAACACAAACTCCAAGTGTGACACAATCTGGTAGGAACTCCTGATTATATAGTTTGATAACAAGAAACTATAAACCATGCTATTTATATACATACAGTCATTAAATATAATTAAATATATTCCATTTTCATAAAATGTTGTTATCTAGTTAGTTTTATTGTACTATTGTTATATTTACTCCAGATAAAGTACTTAACAACATTTCTTTATTATACAGGTATATATATAGAATATTTGTAGACTTAACTGTTTGTTAATGGTGCAACTTGGTATTTTATTTAATTCAGAAAAGGAAAATAATAACATTATGTATGGAATATATTATGTGATCATTTCCATTTGAAATCACAATACAAATGTATATAGACAATTGGATTTGTATATATCCGACTTGAATATTTACGAATGTAGTGAGCCAAGTATTTTGCTATAATAAAACATATATTGTTATAATAAAATATATATATATTTCAGTGTCAAGTGACGGAAAAGTTCTTACTGTTGCGTTTGTAGTAATTGGGCTTACGACGGCAACAATCATCGGGCTACTGATATATATCATTCGAAGGAAGAGGTAATAAATAATGAATTTGAAAAAAAGAGTTAAAATCTTTTTATTTATACAAATTTATTTTTGTTCGATTATGTTGGAAGATATAGATTTATTAAAACACTATCAAATCCGTTTCTGTACCAACCAGTACTAAGTAATGAATGTGAAGTTTCATGCTCAAGGAAACAATGGTCTGTTAGAAGTTTCTACGTTTTACATTTATTTTGCACATCAATGAACAAGTTCCCGAAAAAAAATAGTCCAAATATTGTGGCGTTGAAAATGCCGTGAAAACAGTATATGTCATTAAACCATATAATAACTTTAATCAAAATATTGTCAATGAAGTCTTGTAAAATGTGTTTCAACAATTGTCATTGGTCATTGATTTTGTTACACTGCTCCAATTGAATGAATTTCTTCTCCAGTACTTTTATCATTATCGATTTAAATTAATAACAACACTTGAATCCACATCTTTTATTGATAATTTTCCTTATATCAGCCCTGCTAGCGTTTTCATAGTATTGTCTTAAATAAATATATTATTTTGCAGACTGATGAAAGTGATTGATAAGGACTATGATACACTGAAGTACCCAACCGTTAAAACAATCAAGGTCGATGATGCTGGGCATTTGTATTCCTACTCTTCAAGTTGAGAAAATTGTCAAGTAGATCATTTGACCAACGTCGAGCAGGATCTATGCAACGGAAAACAATAATTTAGATGTCTCGTTACTGTATTGTGATAGATATATTGATAATACATACATATATATATATATATATATATATATATATATATATATATATATATATATATATATATATATATATATATATATATATATAATATATATATATATATATATAAAATCACATACACAGATACTTATATATGAAATAGATACCCATGATTTTGAAATATCAAAGCATGTTAATAATATCGAGAATGGACAACTAAAGTTAAGTTTACTCATAAATATTACTGAAAGAGCAAAAAAGAAAAGACAATAAAAAAGACATTTCATATAGTTTTATATAGTTTTATTATCATTTGTACAATGTATATAATTTAGTATACACTTTGTTTTCAGATTATTATCGTTTTTACGTATAACGTATGTTAAACATTTCTTATCTCAATGGTTAGTACCTACATCAATAAATTTGTTATTATTTAAACTTTAAAAACTAATTATAGCATATTTCTATTTTGAACCGTTATTTAAACATTTGTAGATAAACCATTCTGTGATGTTTTACACATTCTGATTTATGTATTTTTTTTTGTTCACTATATGTTAATGGTGTAAGCAGAAAGCAATGACTTTTTTTTCGCTAATAAAAGTATATTTATACGATTAAGCAATGTCAATTTTACTTGCCACACTTCATAACTCCTTCTGTATTGAAAAAGAAGTTATATAGACCGTAAGTTAAAACAGATTATGTGCTCTTACCTGAAGTACTCAAGTTTCAGGAAGAATAGACAACTATTTAGAATATTTAGTAATAAAATAGATATTATGATTATATCTCATCATTTCATTGATGAAACTAAGTGCATGATCATGTTTCAGGAAGAACCTGTGTTATTTATTACAATATTTTGAACTTTACAATCACTGAGATGTCCTCTTACCATGAATAACTCATACTGATATTTCTGTTATAGTTTAAGCTTTAGAAAATGTTATACTTTATTTCTTTTATATTTCAAGCATTAAGAACAACAGTGTTGGAATGTATGTGTTTAAACATGATCGATTTCCTACAGTAAGCAGGTCTAGACTGTCATATCAGACACTTTAGCTTTGAAACCATTAGGGCTTGAAACTACGATCCGTTCATTGAGAAACAGACATCTTAAATACTAGGCCCTGCCCCCATTGTTGCCAGATCAACACGTTATTTTTTCAGTCTCAAGCGTGTTATCTTCTACACTGATTATGATTCACCTTATCATAGGGTCACTGACATGTTTATCATTTTATTCAGGTGCTTATATTTTTATGATAAACATGCGCCTGCGTATTATATATATTTTCTTAATATGTTTCTAAAACACACATGCGAACTGATTAGTCACATATGTATAAATGATGTTCGTTTAAATTTGACTTTATATATATATAAACTTTATAAACTTTAATCTGATGTACTCCTGAAACTCACTTGTTTCAGCTGCTATATTTGGAACTGTAATTTGAGACATTAAAGCAGTTAACCAACAGTACAAATCTGGTTAAACTGAAACAAGGAAGGCTGAGGCAATTAGTAATCACTTTGTTTGAGCAGGTTTTATTACCATTGACGTGATCAGATTAATTTGAAACGCTCTCGATTACATAACCCTTTCAACATACAGTGTTGTTAAATTTCAACGTTATTAAAACAATGGATGTTTTATTACGTTTATAAGAACACAAACCCAACATAATCTTTATTATATAAGCGTTATTAACAATACCATATAAACATGATACATGTACATCAATTGATAGAACGTAAAGATGCACAAACATAATAATATATAGATAAATCATCCATTATCATGAAGCCTTTAAAACAATCGTTGGCGGATAGAATACTTTTATTCTACACCTAATTTAACACAATTTAATCTTCATATCTGAGGAGGGTTTACTTTACAGTTTCTGGAAACTTGAAATTGTGACAAGCTCTGTTTAATGCTAGATACTCAAAGACTATGGTAAATACAATATTTCGCCCATTGTCTGGCTCTGGCTTCAGCAAACCTTGGCATTTAAATATCTTAATTGCGATTTTAAAATCATAAACATATGTGACCCATGATAAGGAATATAATACACTGAAGTACCCTGCCGATAATGTCATCAATGTCGATGATGCTATATATCAAACTCTTAAGTTATAGTAAATTGTCAAGAAGACCATTTGACCAACGTCGAGTAGAATTCATACACCGGAAAACAACAATTAAGATGCCTTGTTACTGTCTTGTGATAAAAAAATATATTGACAATACATATATCGACAGACTTAAATGCACGAATCATTATATATGAAATAGATACCTATGATTTTAATATATCAAAGCATGTTAATAACATCGAGTATGGAAAACTAAAATAAAGTTTACTCATAAATATTACGAAAAGAGGACCAAAAAAAAAAAAAGAGAAGAAAAAAATAAAAGACAATAAAAAGACATTTCATATAGTTTTATATAGTTTTATTATCATTCGTACAATGTACATAGTTTATTTTGTACATTTTGTATTTAGACCATATTGTTATTTTTAACTTATCTTCAAACATTTCTGTAGTCAATTGTTAGTACTTACATAAAATTCTTGTAATGTCTGTTATCTATTTATTTATTTTTATTTTGAGGGGGTATTATACAATGTTAGACAAAAAATTCTTTGTATTGATTTGCTCAACATCATATACGTAGAAAGTACAAGAATAGATAGCTATCAACACCTTTCAATATATATCTAAAACAGTTGGGAAAAAGTCAATGCTAGAATAAACTACTCCCGAGTTGCGCAATCAAGTTTTCTATATCGTCCCTTCTATGATATCCAGGTTGAAGCAATAATTTTATTGCCTGTTCAGAGCCAAGATTGACCAAGCAACTTGTTTTAGCTCGACTGCTCGAAAAATAGGAATAGCTATTTTACTCACCCACGCGCCTTTGTCGACGTCACACTCTGGTTAAATATTGGCATCTTCAAAACTACATAAGGTTATGAGTTATGATAGTTTATTTCTAAGGCCAATAATTTGATGTGGATTTTGACAGAACTATGGCCTTTTTTAAATTAATATCTAAACAATCTACATTATACGAGTACAGGCATTTGTTTTGCTTTCAAGCACTCAGTTTAGTCAAGCAAGTTGTCCTAACGACAACTCTTGGTGATAGAGAAGTAGCCAGATTAAACTTTTTTTTTGAAGAAAACATTTACAATGTACTATATATTACATTTAAACAAACACGTTAGAATTAAGCTTCAATTAAGATTGAATTGGGCTAAGCACGTAACAAAAAATCATCATTTAAGTACTCAAAAAAACTACACAAGTGCAACATATATACATACACTTTTAATATGACCAATCAAACTAAGGATGACGTAAATTAAGTTCAAACACTATTTTCTAGACTACAATGGGCTGGGTCTAATCCCGTCCGGGGATGACACCTTAGGGAAAGGACATGATAATTTATGTTGAAATAAGACCGAGGCCTAAATAAAAACAATAATTTTAAACATGTGTTAGTAGATTTTTGCTAACTTTTTGTTGCGTGGTATTTTTTAAATTCGTAAAACCATGCCTGGCGGGTTATACTTGCTCATATGATATGTTTTGCTGTAGTGTTGCGAATGCACCGTACGCTGAAGTGGGTAAAATTCATTATTTCGCTTAAAGTTCTTAGATATGTATCAAGATACACACCATTTTTATACAGACAAAGTGTAAAAGGAACGTTGAAAGTTATCTGATGAATTCAAGGTTACATATTCTCCGATTAGAAATCAAATAGCTTAGTGTTAGGATGTTTTCTTTTTTCTGTAGCCGATAAAATATCATTTTTCATTTTTATTATTTCAAAACATAAGGATAAACAGAAAAAACCTGTGTGCAAGGACGTAAATATCTTAAATGATTTTGCTACTTCATCCCTGTTTGTCATGTTGATGGATTTAGTCACGTAGCTAGTTTCTGCAGTTTCGGTGGTTTTGATTGTACGAAATAGGATGCTTTATAAAAAAGATGAATATGAACGTCGAAATCATTATTATCTAAAATGTTTATTTTGCATTACCTGTTGTTATTATGTTTGTTATTTGATACTTAAGGTGAAATAAACTTGGCAAAGAGTTTTTCACCGAGATACGTGCATCTTTTACGAAGTAAACAACTACGTTTTATAATGTCAGACATCGTCAGGTAGCAACGAATAATTTTAAAAGAAAAATAAACAAGGAAGTAAAAATATGACCTGATGAACAATCTTTAAGTACTGTATGAATATTTGTTTGCTTGCTAACGTTATAGAAGTGTTGTTTGGTTGAATGATTAATTAATTGATTGAATGAATGAATGAATGAATAATTGATTGATTGAATAATTGGTTTAAACATATTTATTAAAGCTCGATTGCAAAACAAGTTCTTGCAACTTATATTAATCCCTTTCGAGTCCGCTTCCTGGAACCAACCAGTACTGGTGTCATATGAAGAAACATGGTCGAAACCCGATTACATGGATTAGGGCTCGAACCCATGATCACTGGGTTGAGAGGCAGACACTTAACCACTAGGCCGCCGCTCCCCTTTATTGAATAATTGATTGAATAATTGATAGATTGAATGAATAGTTTGATTGATTGATTGGCTGACTGGTTGATTGATTGATTTATTGATTGGTAAGTTATTTTATTTAATGAATTATTATTTTTCTAATGATTTTTTCGGGGAGCGGGGTAAATTTTTCGATTTTTTTTTCATGTTTTGTCCTTGTTGGCAATTGGTGTGCTGTCTTGTACCATAGGCAGGATTTTGGTTTGCTAAGTTAAACATTAAAATGGATCAGTATATATGCGTGCAAACAGGGAACATGTAATTATCAATATACACAACACGTTAAGATTTTATTTCATCAATTTTACGTATGGTATTTTGTCTTATGTTTAAATTATTTTCATTTGCCGCGTGAAGCAAGTTTTTGATAAATTCCGTGTCTCTTATAAATGATTTTAACAATTACACTACCTACCAGTGAACTATGTTCTTACAGTTCTTTATAGAGTTGCAAACTTCGAACTGATCTGGCTAGGATGAGACGCTAAATGATTTGTTTGTATTTCTTTTCCCCATTATTGATATACTGGTTTCAAATATGCTGAAAATAGAATCAAATGTTAAGTTCAAGTTTTATATAAAATATCCTATCGTTCTTATCATAGAAAGAAGGCGTTTTTTTCAATTTTGAAAGTAACATACTTGAAATATTGCTACTTCCTGAAATGGGATCATGATGCCTTATTTATCATATGTATTAACGCCTAACTTTCGTAGTTCTTCCTGTTATGTATTCTTCCTGTTATGTAAATGGGAAAAAAGCCAGATATTTAATGCGTACACTCTTTAAAAGATTCAGTGCGGTTTTGGCTTCATCTCTGTAACTTTTCCTGTACCAGTATTTCAATTAACAACAAAACAAATGACAAATGGTTTTCTTCAAGGAATCACTTGGCGTATAACAAAACTGGCATGTTTTTGCCGACTCTTGAGATCTTGCCGTTCCGTAAAATGCAAATGTGTTTTTCTCAGCATGCAGAATGCTTTTTTGGAATACTTTTTGCATGAAAAAAGGAACAAAACAAAAAACAAAAACAACAATGACAATTTGTTGGACACATTGCCATAAAAGTTATATATTTATAAATTATTATATAAAAGTTATACTATCCTATTCCTAAACTTGACTGACCTGTTCTAGCCAACATTATTTGTTGAAGGTTTGCTTATATGTTTTGTAGTAGTAACGACTTTGGATATTTAATTTAGATTGTTTGGTAGTTTTAATATATTCATTATCTGACAAAATTGGTATTGCATAGTAAGTGTTTGTCTAAAAAGAAGTAAAAGTGTTACGATTCGTTAAAGTTATGGAATGAAAATATGTTGTTGGTGATTGCACAAAGAATAAACAGAAAGTTTCAACAAACCTTGTTCTCCCAGATCTATCAGCGTATGCAGATCAACACGAAGATAATAGTAGTATTGCCATGGACAGAAAGTTTTTTTCTGTCATCTTTCATTGTTTTCGGTCCCTTTTAGTGCGATAAGAGAGCTATGCGATGAAACGATTATAAAAAGCAACCTAGAACTAGAAAGGACAGGGGAATTTTCAAATATCGGGGGGAATGTGTTTCAAAAAAAGCACTGTTTGTTTGTTTGGGTTTTACGTCACACCGACATAGTATAGGTCATATCGCGCCGTTCCAGCTTTTCTGGTAGAGGAAGACCTCAGGGGCCCATCCTTGCAATATTTCAGGCATGTACGGGCACCTGAGTAGAACCACCAACGTTCTGTAAGCTAGCTAGATAGCTTCCTCACATGAAATTATCCAAAGTCCCTGTCGGGAGTCGAACCCACAGCGGTAAGGGGCAAGTGGTTTGAAGTCAACGACCTTAACCTCTCGGCCAAGGACACCCCATAAAGCACTGCAACTCCATACAAACATACTTTTATAAAATAATAAGACACAGCTTTCTTCAATACTTTGCAAATTTTAGAATTCTCTCCGGCGAATATCATTCACAATATCGCATGCAGTTTTCATTTACTGTATAGGATATAACGGAACAAATAAAGAAATAAGTAATTTAGTTGGGAGCGTCATAAGCTATATTACTAATTGAGGATTGTTTCATTTTGGTGCAGTTGATAAAAATGCTTATCCGCAGTAACGTCAATTGATCTGCTTTCATGTATATTTTATAAAATACTCACATGCATTATATTCTTTAAATGGCCTTTCAGAGCGTAACTGAAGTGGGATTTTTGGCGAAAACGCTCAGTCGTGACATGACTTAAACTTAAACTTCCTTAATGTTATGATATATATAATATTCTAAAAATGGTACAATGAAATTATTTAAATAATTGTGATTTTTTTTATAAAAGCTGGGATACACGAGAGTCAGAATCATTCTCGCACTATGTTTATATTATTTCATCAGTAATTAAAAATGTAACAGGATTGATCGAAAGGTTATCGGCCCGATGTATTTCAGGTAGTCAGTGAACCCAACTTATGGTCTTACTTTTCAATATAATTGTCCTTTACACCAATACACCTTGCCCACCTTTGCTCCAACTTGTTTAACCCTTCAAAATAGAACTCTCTATTTTGGTCCTCAAAAAACTCATTGACCGCCTCTATGAGACCTTCATTGCTTCCAATACGTCTACCACGAAGCTTGGTTTTCAGTTTCGGAAACAGGTAGAAGTCAGAGGAGGCTAAGTCCGGAGAATATGTGGGATGGGGTACAATTTCAGAGCCGCAGTAATTTGCAGCAGCCATTGCAACTTGGTATGTGTGAACTGGCGCATTGTCGTGCAGGAGCAGAACGCCTTGAGTCAGTTTGCCCATCGTTTTCTTGACGCATACGTCTCAATTTTTCTGCATAGTACGTACCGGTTATGGTACGAGCTTGCTTAAGATAGTCAATCATGATTATTTCCTGATTATCCCCACAAAATGAAGCAATCATCTTTCCTGCTGATGGCACCCTCTTGAATTTATTCGGAGGGGATGAGCCAGGGTGCTTCCACTGCATGCTCTGTATTTTCGAATTCTGGATCGAAGTGATGGAGTCATGTTTCACGATCCGGTAGATAAAATCAGGTTCATCGTCGTAGCTAGACAAAATATATCTTAAAATGTCAAGCCTTGTCCCTTTCTGGTCGTCAGTCAACTGTCTGGAAACCCATCTAGCGGAAACCTTTGACATGCAATAGACATCAATCAGACTTGCCTGAACGAATCCAAAGCTTATACCCTCTTCCCTAGCAATGCTTTGCAGGTTTCGCGTTCTGTCGCACATGACCGGTCTGCAGACCAGATCGTGCACAGCTGCGGCAGTTTCATCGTTTGTGGCCTGTTTTGGCCGACCAGACCGCTCAACATCTCCAATGCTCTCCCTGCTCCTCTTAAATTCAGCAGCTCATTTTTTTACAGTGCTATAGGAATAAGACTCCTTCTCAAGTGTATCCATGAAGTCTTCATGGATTTTCTTTGGGGACATTCCTTACTTTCAGAGGTACTTAATGACGGCTCTGATTTCAATTTTCTCCATTTGGTCTATTGTGTGTAAATGACACACCCCTCTACTGATCAAATTGTGACTTATGTTACTTAATCTGTGAAAAACCGCGTGTAACTCGGTCTGAATTCTTCAATAAGATATCAGTTTCGACGCATTGTGAGTAAATGTCAGTGTAGTGGCTAGAAGTATATCAGGCCGAGAACTTTTTAATCATACCTCGTATATAGTTCATATATTATATATAACATACACTCATGTATATTTTACTTCATTTTTTACAATAAAAATATCACAAGACACAGACTGGTGCGTACCATAAAATGCAGGGGCAATATATGTATTTGGGTTGAAGTAATCAACAGAAAATAACATCGTACAAATGTAGAAAAAAAATATGAAAAGCGTATTTTCAAAAATAAAATGTATGACATCTTTTGTCATAAATAAATTCAAAACTTCCTGATACAGAGTTGATTTAAAAGTCGCTTGCAACGTAGTTACGCACAATACATGATGGAGAGGATCTGGTATACGTGTGTATTTCTTGCATTGATTACGGCGCAATATATTGTTTGTAAGTATTCTTATTGAAAATTGTCTTAATTTGATTTGATTTGTTGCATGATTTGATTAACGAACAAGAAATATAAAAGTACCATTGAAAGTCAATGGATGTAGGTTTAAATGCTTCGATTTATCTTATTTATGATTCATTATCGGAACATCATTAAAATGCATTCCTCGTTTAAAAAAAGTTAAATCGTTTAAAAAGTGTTTTTTTCTAAGACATTAGAACTTTCATATGTGTCATTGATTGTTTTTAACATTTTATCAAGTACATTTAATTGTACAGTGCCACCATATGCTATTCTACATTTGATTGCCATTATTTGACTTCTATTTTATATTTATTTAATATTAAATTTTCAAAAGGTTAAAATCATAAAGAAGATACATTTTTATGAGAAATTAAAAAAACAGTAATAGAAAAATAAACTATTTTAAGTAATATGAAGATATATAAGTTTGTCTATGATCCCTAATGACTATATTCTATGAAGCGGGATAAAATTTACATAATATAGTTCAACAACGCGCTATTAACTAATGCAATTTACAGTATAATTCTTCTCATTTAGCTTGTGAGAATTGTCTTTGTGTAAATTATACTATGCTGCTTACGAATTATAACAAAATCTTTTGTAAATTAAACCGCTTAAGGCGATAATATACACTTTCCGTTCTCAGTTGAGCAAAACAGCAAATTGCTCGACTATGGGAATGGTTAAAACAATATAGCTGCCTAAAATAAACATAATGTGTGAACTAATAATTTCTTTCCCCGTAATCTTATGGACACTACATAGAGTTTATTGACTTTTATGGACTTTTGTACGAACTCAAAAGTTTGCTGTACATTTAACTCGTTTTTAACAATGTCAAACAAACAGACATTTTTTATGTGAAAGCCTGGAAAATTTCTAATAAACTTTTTACGGATGATCGTCGATAGCCAATGTCAATATTGATATATGATTTTCTGTCGGTGAATAACACATTATACTCAATGGCTCACTAATCAATAATTGTTTTCTTATTAAAAAAGGCTCAGAAAAATCACAAAAACACAGGCTTATACAACTTTTGCCCGTTTGATAAAGGGCGCTCGTTGACGCAATCAACGACTACGCGAAGCTTGTACAAGCAAAGGTATAACGTTTACTTATTATAGTTAAGTAATGATGACTTAATCGATAAATATGCCTTTAAGAACAAAACGAAGCAATTAAGTGTATACGCGCACTCGTAATTAACAGTCTACGATATATGATCATTGAATATGATTCTGAATCTATTCTTAGATCGGGAGAATCCAATAAAGCTAATTACTTCTGCCAGTGAATTTGATTTAAAATTCATGAATGTTTTGTTGATTACTGTTTGGACCAATAAGTTTGCGGTTATATTCAGATCATATAATAAGATGTTTTGTTTACTGGTAAAAGGTCTTATTGACATATTTATTTTATATATATTAAATGCAACTTAAAATCGCAGCATATTTAATGGCTCAGTGGTCAATAATTGTATAAATGCCAAATTGAATTATGAATTAAAAGTAAATTTCCTGGATCAATGCTTTCTTTTGATCAGCATTGCAATTACGCAATTCTCTTGCATTATGCTAGTTGAGGTTTAAGTATTAAACTCTTCTTATACTGAACCGTCGCAATAGCTAGATGATTTGTCAAAAACGGTTTCTTTACTATTAACAGATTGCTGCAATGACAATGTCCGAGTTCTCAATGATCTAGCATTTAGGAGTTCTGAGACTCAATCCAATTTTTGGAGTGGAGGAAACGACATAGTCATAAATGATGCGGACCTGGTATCTGGGTGGTATAGTGCAACGTTAAATGGCTGGCAATACCTCATGACAGACGTTTCTAACAAACCTTATTACTTAAGATGTTCTACATACTGGCCTATCTATTTGAAAGGTGAATCGTAAATGTCAAACAATGTAACATATTGTTAACACACTAAAATTGTAAATCCAGACTTCTACAATGACCTTATTTACATTCTTTGTTGTGAATATATGACAGGAAGTATTTAGTATTCAATGCAACATTAAATTCAAAGGGTAGAAACTATGGTGCGTTAAGGACAACTGTACAATTAAAAGTAAATGTTTATTCATGTCACATACATTTATATAATGTAATGTTAAACAATTATTTGATCGCTTGTATGGCGTAAATGAATTAACTCCTCACCCAAACAAAATATTCAAGGCAAAAAAAGCACAGTTAAACCACTTTCTTCCATACTTATATAACAGTTTTTCCGATTTTCTCAGATAATCATACATCAATAGACGACCTTACAGAGGAACCAGTTGACGTTACCGCCTGTGTCCGTGATGATATTAACCCGTGTAGTACAAGATATACAATTCAAATTAGAAAATGCATTGGAGAAATCCAGTATAAATTGAAACCAAGTGAATGGTTCAGCGCCTATTGTTTTGGTAAGTACAGCTGTATACGAGACATGTTCAAAATATAAAACTGAGGGGCCTCTCTCGATTGTGATGGCCATTTTTTGGATAACATCACTATAACACCTTTACAATATTTTTTTTTGTTTCTATACTACTAAATATTTGCTAAGGGTCATTTTTTCTACAGTGCGTTACCCTTGCGTATTTGTAATAAATGTGAAAATTGATTCAAAGGAATTAATTATAATTATTTAGGAATTGATTTTTATAAAACAATAATGACAATTGAAGTGTTCTTTGACGTTTGCTGGTTGCGGAAAGAGTGTGCTGAACGAAAATCAACATTTTTGAGATCACATAGTGGAAAAAGAATTGCAAATCAGGAAATGGTTGGCGTATGGTGTTTTATACCGAGTATGGTGTCCGCGGGCATTAATTACGGTCTTGCATTGCCACTGCATGCTGCTGATAAGCCTACGGACATTGTGATGAGGAATCTGGGCCCATTCCTCTATGATTGTATGTCTTAGCTCCTGAACTGTTGTTGGTTGGACGTGGTCTGATAAATGGCTTTCTGCAGAATATCCCAAGCATACTCAATTTCATTTAAATTCATGGACCTCGCTGGCCAATCCATGCAGACTATTGTTGCCTCCTCAAGATATCGGTTTGTGATGTTGTGTGGGATCTGTGTGCACTGGTGTTGTCATTTATAAGAATGAAATCAGGGCCGACTGCGCCAGCGTACGTGCGTACATGGACGTCTTAGATTTCACTGACGTACCTTACTGCCGTCAGTGCACCATTTTCAATGATGTGTAAGTCCGTTTTCCCCTGAACGTTTATTTCCTCCCACACCATGACTGAACCTCCGCCAAAAACGGTCGTGTTCTGCAACGCATGCTGGAGCTAAGCGTTCATTTTGACTTCTCCAAACCCTAGCCCGTCTGTCCTCGAAGTCAACACAAAACATTGACTCATCATTAAAGAGTACCGGAGTCCAATCATTAACTGTCCGTGTGACATGACTCTGTGTCAAAGGAATGCAAATTGATGGTTTCCATGACCTCAACCAAGCATGATGCAACCTGTTTCCAATAGTTTGTGTGCTTACACGCACACCAGTTGCCTTCTGGAAGTGGTTACGTAAGGTCGTAGCGTTCGAGAACCATTGGTCCCTGGCCGGAAGGACAATAAATCGGTCCTGCGATTGAGTCGTTGAACGTTCCCGACCTTCGGCATGGCCCTGCAAGACATTTCAAGTCATTTGAAAATCGGTTCCATAACACTGTGGGATACCCCAAGACATGGGCAACGTGCCTTTGTGAACGGCCAGCCTCCAACATTCAAATACCCTTGTTCATCTCAACCTCACTAAGACGACGTCTAACCTGTTGATTTGTCATAGTTTATTAATTTCGAACACAGATTTACAAAAAAAAAAACGAGAGAAGTCTTACTGCTTGTACACGTTTAAGTGAAAGCACACGGCCATAAAACACCATGGGTTTGCTTTTCCACGTGCTTATCGTGCAAGGTGTACATGACAAATCAATACTTTAAGTACGAGATTATGAGGTCCCCGTACAGGTGTATCGTTAGCGGAAATATGATTTAAATATGATAATTGGACTGAAATATGCAATGTCAAAAATGAGATCCATAGCAAATTTTGAGATGTATACAACCTTTGTACCTGTCGTCTTCATATAATATAATATGATTTTAAGCATGAAAATACTGAGTATATCGAGAACTGCCCTTCTCAACCTGTCGTCGGCGTCCGTTTTCAGATTTAAGACAAAAGTTTTTAGAGTAAAACTTTTACCATAACGTTTTTATTTCTAAATGATACAAATAAGACAAACTTTTGTTTGTTTGTCTATTTGTTTCATTTTACGCCTTTTCCCAACAGTATATCAGTCATATAGGCGGGTAGTTTCCTAACCATCGTTCCTGGAGAGTTACACCAGTACTAGACTACCTTCCTCCGTGCTAAACTACCAAAGCATCTCCCAGGGATCGAACCCACGCCTGAGAGGTAACTGGATAAGACAAACAAGATCCTTCGGTAGCATTTATCAAAACAAAATAATGAAAATGTAGACTTTGATGATTGAGTCTGTACATGAGGAATACTAGAAATGTGCAACATCTTTCACGGTTCCTAGCACCTCCTTGAGCGGTACTTAATATTCAGCACTTAAGTACTGGGATAAATTATCCCGAATTACCAAAATAGTCTAGAAAAAATATCACCGAAGCTTTAATCACAACACATTAACATGAAAATTGCAGACTTGGTTTGATTGAGTCAGTACATGAGGAATAATAGTAAGGTGCAACATCCGTCTCGCCTCTAAGCTCAATGATTCTGAAGGACCAGAAAAATAAAAACACTGAAATGAAGTACGGGGCAACATACTACAGCTGTCAAACGGCACTTGACAGCAACTGTTGAAAATAATTGAAGTCTGGAAAGGGGTAATCCCTCGGAAGCATAAATCATAACAAAATAACTGAAAATTGTAGCTCGGTTTGACGGAAAATGACAAAGAATTGCATATTACCTCACGCCCACTAGCACTTGCTTAAGTGGTTCTCATTTTTAAACAGTCATGTTAAATGCTGAAATCAATTATCCTGAAGAACCATAGAAAATATAATATACCCATATGATGTACGGGACATAACTCATATGTCAATATTTTATAAATTTGCTTGAAACTTAAACTTATTTGTGTTTAACTTTCTTTTTTCTTCAGGGATTTAATTAAGGCTTTAAAGTATGTTTCTCATCAATACCTTTATCATATGTGATCAGATTTATAACGCTAGCTCCTGTTATGCAATTACTATCTCCATTTATGTTTTGAACTTGGATTATTTTTGAAAATTAATACATTTAATTTATTTTTTTCTTTGAAGTATAACAAATGATATATACACTAGAGTTAAGAGAATTGTATTTTTAGCTCACCAGAACCGAAGGTTCAGGGTGAGCTATTAGTATCAAAAGGGGGATGAGACGGCGTCCGTCGCCCGTCGTCATGCGTCAACAATTGTCTTCTTCTTTGAACGTGATGGGCCGATTAACTTCAAATTTGGTCTATAGCATCCTTGTGACAGTCACACTTAAATTTGCTCATGTTATTTCAATTGGCCCCTTTTAGGGCTCAACATAGCTAAAAATAGAAAAACCTTTAAACATCTTCTACTACTAAATTAAATGATGGATGATCATCATGATTTTTCTGTAGCATTCTTATGTAGTTTTTATCAAATTTGCTTATTTCAATTTGATTAGCCCCTTTTAGGAGTAAAAATAGAAATACATATAAACGTATCCTCCCACAGAACTAATTGATTGATGATCACTAAACTTTGTCAGGTAGTCTTTTATCAATTTTGCTCATATTAATTTGATTGGCTCCTTATAGGGGCCGCTAAAGCTAAAAAAGGAAACTTTGAACATCGTCTCCTACTGAAATAAGTTATGGGTGATCACCAAACTTTGTCTGTTACATTTTGAGGTAGTCGTTTATCAAGTTTGCTCATATTAATTTGATTAGCCCCTTTTAGGGGCCGCTAAAGCTAAAATTAGAAAACCTTCGAACATCATCCCCTACTGAAAGATATTGTAGCATGGTCACCAAAACTTTGTCTGTAGCATTCTTAAGTAGTTTTTATCAAGTTTGCTCATATTATTTTGATTGGTCTCTTTTAGGGGCCGCTAAAACTAAAAATATCTATTAACGTCTCCTTCTACAGAACTAATTGATGGATGATCACCAAACCTTGTCTGTAGCATTCTTAGGAAGTCTTTTATCAAGTCTGCTCATATTTATTTTATTGACCCCAAAGTTAAAATAGAAAACCTTTGAACATCATCGCCTAATGGAATGATTGATGGATAAGATTTCATCAAACTTAAAAGCATTTTATGAAGTCTTTTATTAAGCTTGCTCATATTAATTTGATTGACACCTTTTAGTGGCCGCTAAAGCTAAAAATAGAAATACATTGTACATTTAAACGTCTCCTCCTACAGAACTAATTGATGGATGATCACCAAATTTTCTCCGTAGCATTCTCTGGTAGTCTTTTAACAGGTTTGCTCATATAAATTTGATTGGTCCCTTTTAGGGGCCCCTAAAGCTTTAATGTCTCGGGTCATAGCATTTCTTCAAATTATAGTTTAAAGACATTCTATACTCAAATTTAATATTAGAAAATATTGACAATTGATACACAGTCTCTTTATAGATATAAAATAAACGTGTTTTGACTTCAGACAAAGTAGATATGTTATGCTTAAAACTCTTAATACTATAGGTGGTCATAGTATGAATTAATAGTTTCATTAAAAAATGGCTATTTTTTATGGAAAAGAGCAACTTGACTTGGGTTTTAATAGGGAAAACAGCTTCCCATAAATAGTTCATACATTATTTTATCAAAATTAGACATATTCAGTAAGAATTTATAGATTTTAATACATTTCTGTGATAAAAATGTAACTCAAGGATTAGCATAGTATATATTTCATAATGAAAGGGAAATGTGTACATGTTATGCAATTTTACCAAGCTGGGAGAAAGTCTTTCTGTCATGACCAGTCCTGTTTGCTTATGAAATGATTTGAGGTCATGTGCTTTGTATCTGAACAGTAATCATATTTGCACATTGTCTTTCATTTAACATGCTGAAATTAGACTTAACTAGACACTATTGCACCGTGACAAAGTTTAATTGTATAGAAAACAATCTATTTCTGGTATTTCTGTTTAACTGCTGAACCTGAAGTATCATGCCCATAACTGAATTTTGGTATCAGTTGGGCTGTTATGGATATTTTTCAAACCATTTCACCTACTTTCTTGTGTTTTTTACTGGAAAGTTGGACCTATAAAACATTTGTTGTCCCAAACTGTAAACTTCAAACATCTACCCCTTACATATCTTGCATGTGACATTTTGTGTATTCATTCACAAATGTTATAACAATAACTTGTCCAAATTAACCC